TTTTTGTGCCTTGTGTCAGTCATTTCAATTGTGTATGTCATCTTTTTTTTTCCTCCATCAAACATAATTTTTTTGTAATATTTCAAGCATTACTGAATAGAATGGAAGATTTATTTAGATGAAAAAAAACTTCTTCCGTACTTTTTATAATGAACATTTTCATATTGAAATTTTGGTCTTGGACTTTGAATTGTTCAAACCACTTGCTCCATTTTTCGGTGCCGTTTTGCTGAGACCAAAACGTCTTGGGACACTTCTTGAACTTAATATATACACAGTACAAAAAGTATTAAGACGATTTGGCCAAAACAATAACTCGTCATTCAGTTATATTCACATTTCACTTCAAAAACGTTTGGCCACACAAATTTCTTACAATTCTTGAATTCTAGATCAATCGGTTGACGTCCATGTCCATGCGATGTCCCCTTTTTCATTTTTCTTAACAATCACATATTTCCGAAGCCACATTCGAACCCATACGAATGATAATATATATAAAACTTCCTGTGGGTTCGAACAGGGATTCGGAAAATCGATTCATCTGAAATGTTGGCTTGGCGAACTTGATGATTCAATTCATATAATTACAATCCCACTGTTGTTACAGTCTTTTAGATCAAAATAAAAGACTAAAAGTCAAATAACAACAAAGCGATCGTTTTTTAATCGGCTGATTGCTGTTCAACTGTTGTTCCACCTGAATTAAAAGCTAGTGTAAAAAAAATTGCAAGAAAAATCGAAAACAAAAACACATCTCTCTTTCTAGCCACGTTCACCTTATCATAGTGCCGTTATGCAGTAGACTATGATTTAAAAAGAATTTAATTCAAAAATCAAAAAAACACTGTTTTGCACAATACTTTTAAAGGGTAAATCCTTATGAATAGCTTTGCAAAAATTTTAAATTAAATTTTCTGCAATTTCAATTTTTCAATTTCCATTTTCATTCTTTAACTGTGTACTCGATGATTGCATACATTACATATACTCGTATGCCCTCACCGAATGCAACGGTAAAAAATAAATTGCATTTCTGAGCGTGAGTCAGCATTATTGGTGTAACCTTTAACTAAAAATCCGACGCGTCGACGTTAACAACAAAGAAATTGTAATCAATATATTTTCAGATGGCCGGTGATGGTTTCGTTACACTTTGTTCGATTTTGATGAATTTACCAGCAATGGTACTGAATTTCGAACCATGTTATTGAAAATATTATAACTCACTCAATCACGCGGTGGAAATCCAGCATCACTGTGGCGTTGTGTTTTGGAAAACGAAAAATTTACGACCAAAGAACCAAAATAGAAATAATACCACACTTGTGATTCTCTGCTCACAAATATTTCGATTATCAAATCAGCGTCGTGTCAACGTTTTCTTGTGTTCAAAAAATAACACCATTGATTACAGCGTCCTTTGTCCAGCGACTGTTTGCGTTCGACCATTTTGATATTGAATTTGCACTCCATGTAACGGTAATTATAAGCATTTTACTTTAGTTAAAAAAAATCACCAAAATTCCCAGATGAATTAGAGGGAAATGCTTGTTGAAATTTACGTACTCTTAAAACACCATCACTCTCTCTCGATTAAAATGATATTTCAAATAATATGGCCATCGTTGAAATTTATTAATGTTGTGACAAACAGTTTTATGATGCAACAACCATGGATCCAAAATCATGTTATGAGCTTAATAGAAATCATAGACATTATTCTGCATCAATAGCCGTTACACCAACCGTTCGCAGTGAAACAAAAATCTGTGCATGTAGTTTGACCTCCAGCACTGTCTCCTTGTCATTCGCTCTTTTTCGTTCAATTTGCTCGAAAAATGAAGTTTTAGAAAAATTGTTTCTATAACCATTTGTTTTAAAGTCGTAAAATTTGGCAGCGAATGTATTGTGGCTGTGTATACGTTATTTTGCTGGTGTAGAATTATTATTAGGTGGACATAGTTTCACCAATGAATTTTACAAAACTCAACACCGTCAAAAAATCGCGTACACAGTCCAACTCTCTTTGTAATCAGTAAATCGTTTAATTTTGTCCAATGCTTCTGGTCACGCCAAATAACTGTTGATGAAATAATATGTATAATAGAAAAAAACCTTCTCAATTCCGTCCCAGCACCGTTATCCAAATGCATTTTGAAATGTCTGTGATTTGCGACATCATTTAACGGTGACCAATCGGCACCATGTCACAAGGTGACCTTTAATGCACAATTGGAGTGAACGGAATATGTTTTAAAAATCGTTGATTTAATCCGTCGGCGTACCACTGTAACATCTTTTAAAATTGGCGATGATATTACCTGCTATATTTTTTTAAAAGTAAGAATGTATGCAAATTCTTTCGAGCGACACTTGGTACCACTAATTTTTTTTTTGCATATACCAATCCGATGAGATTTTCACCGATTATTTTTTATGAATTTCAACTCAGGACATATTTAGTGATTACAAACGTAATACACATAATCACAACGTATGTCTTGGTTTAAAATTGATATTTTCTTCTCGAACGCCATCCATAATTAGAGAATGAAGTTTTATGTTGGGCTATGGGTTTGTATATGAATTAAATAGAAATCACAACAAGCTTCATAGTCCTACACAAAACCCCAAATATTTTCAACACCATCTGGGAATTGTTCGCATGAAATAATGAAATGTGACTTTGGACCAATGTTACTCGAATACTTGCGGGTCTGGGTGTTGTGATAATTCTAACATTCAGTCCCGCAAATACATTAAGCACCATTGATTTTACTGCATTTTCATAAACAATCGCGTATTTTAATTGTGCAAAATGATAAATTTATCATTTCTTGTTGAAGAAACGAACGGAACCAGTCTTGTGGATAAAAAACAAGACTGTGTTCGTTTGTTTCTTCCACAAAAAATCATTGCTTTCAGTTGGTAAAATTGCCTTCTGTTTTTTCGATCGATATTCACCAAAATAACTGAAAATGTTTAAGATTCACTTTATATCGGAATTTGTTTGTTGAATTGTCTGAAATGATTCGTCGTTTTGAGTGGATGGTGCCAAACTGACTAAATTTTCACGGTTCACTCTTTGGTCAGCGTCTATCGTTTAAGAAGTGTTGCAACATCGTCATTCGATTTTTTTTTCACTTTCAAGATGTCGGTGCACAAACACACAAAAGAATCAATTATTTGCCGGTTACGAAAATAACACCAATTTAATGACGGCACTGAACATTGTAATCAAGTGGTGCACACACACAATCAAACTTAGAAACACACAGATCAAAACGAGATGAATATTCCCAAAACTGATGGTCATACTGTTCTCACACATTTTGACTAAACAACGCAATTTACATTCGATATTTGGCGCGAAAAAGTTAATGTTTATTGGTATTGGTCATTTTGTTGTATCGAGTGTCAGTTGATAGAACAAGCCGCTTGCGTTTATGCAAATACGCAGATCGGAATAGATTGACATTTGTGTGAGATCAATATATAATTGGATGCTATTGAAACTATGCTCGTTTCGTTCATCACATTTTATTTATGCTTCGATCAATTCAATTGCTATGACATTTTTGTAAGTTTATTGGTGAAAATCGTTAATTGGATCAGATAATTACGATTATTAGTAATGAACTCACAAAAAAGTAAATACATCTACAGTGTGGACTCAAAAATTGTATACCAAAACCAGCAAATCGGTCAAGATTTTTTTATGAACAAATCAACAGAAAATGTGCATTCATCAGCACAAAAATTCAACGAGGCAACATTCAAAGAAGAAGAACAATGAAGAATAGAGGCAAAAAGAACGTTTTGTTGATATTACACTTACCTTTCTCAAGATGCTTTTTCGGTAGTTTAAATTTCTTGGTATTATACAGATTTTATCAAATATTCTATTATATCTCAAGGGAAAGAATTTTCTTCATTAGAATGAATACAAAATCGTATACTTTTTATTTATCATTGGATGTGGTGATATTTAACAATATTGGTCTGTCTTATGCGTGCAAATAAGATGAAAAGCAATCTAGTTATTTTCATCTTTATATACTTGTCACTTATTACTTTTCCGCACACACCTAGTGTGTAAGGTAAAGTATTGGAATTGGTCGAAAAATTAACACCCATCAAAAATGTGTTTTCTGGGTGTTTTTGGGGCCAGGGAACACGAATCTTGCGTTTTTTCGATGTCCGAATGTATGTGCGTACCCTGTACCCTGTACGCAACAATTTGTTAACACGATAACTTTCAAACAAGAAAATCAATTCAAAACATGACTTCATAGGATTAAGGGTACCTCCCTCACGTGAAATTTTTAAGTAGCAATTGGCATTATTCGACAGCTTACTTTAAGACCTTCCCAGCGAATATGCATATGCCCTGGGTATGTCAAGTATAGGTGCCACAGCGATTGTTTGAAAAAGTGTCCATTTTTGCACTATCGAAGGCCATATCTTGAAAACAAGAATTTTCTGGGATATAAGCTATGCGGCGTTTTTAAGCTCAGACTTGTGCCTACAATCGGTGGGATGTTCAAAAAAATCGTTGAGCTTGTTTTCGAGGTAATGGACGTTATGTATCCGGCCGAACGGTAACTTTTTGGTTTTTGGCCAATTTGGCCACTCCAAATCGAAATTTTTGGACCGCAAATGGCACCATTCGATAGCTCACTTCAAGACCTTTCCAACGAGGTGCATATGTTCGGGGTGTGTCAAGTGGATGTGCCTCGGTAACCGTAGTAAAGTGCCGGAACAAAAAGTTAGTTCGATAGAATTCGCATATTTTCACGGAAAAATATGCGGTTTCGATTTTTCATCGTTTAAAATTATTGTCCATTGGGTTCAATCGGAAAATTCATTCGTGCATTCTCCATTTTCATTTTCCGGAAATTAGTATAAATAGAGGTGCATTTTGTATGGAGAGCTCAGTGTTGTTACAACTGACGAACAGTACACATCGTCGAAATTTTTTCGAAAAAACAAATAAAATGCTGAAATTGAACAGTGAACAATATGCACGGGTTTATCGCCATATTAGTCGCCATGTTGGCTTCTACAACACCACCGGTAGTGGCCGCATCGACAATGTATTTTCGGTCGAAAATCGCCGACGGATGAACTTGCCGGCAAGAGATGCCAAAAATGCGGAACAAGTAAAAAGTAATTAAACCGAATGAAAAATAATTTTAAATCGAAACCGCATATTTTTCCGTGATTATTTGCGAATTTTATCGAACTTTTCCAGCTATTGACCAATTGAGCCAAAATGGAAAAAAAGTGAAAAAAAAATCGATAAAATGCGCATATTTTCACGGAAAAATATGCGGTTTCGATTTTCCATCATTTAAAATTATTTTCCATTGGGTTCAATCGAAAAAAAAAAAATCATTCGTGAATTTTCCATTTTCATTTTCCGGGAAAATTTATTTAATCCAATGGACAATGATAAAGACCGTTAGGTTCAATCATTGATTTGAACCTTGTATCGTATGTTATTAATTTTATCGATGTTTTTTTTTTGTATTTTTTCCAATTAGACATGATTCGCACCATCATTACTCGGGGTGGCGACGTCGCCCGATACCCAAGTACTGCGGCGGAAGAAAGTGCGGACGATGACGCTATTGGTGTTCCAGAGGCCGAAAAGCAAGTGCCACCGCAAGCGCCAAGAATGAAAACGGTAGTGATCGTCAATGGCAAAACTACCATCTCCAAGCCACTCGAACGAGCCATTTACCGGTTCATGCTCCGGCACTTGGATATGTATGGTTCGGAGCGCAATATCAACGCCATTAATCGTGTTTACACACGATTTCACATCCAACCATCGTCGATAATTACCGAACGATTGCGATCCATTATCCAAAATGTAAATCGGCACTACGATGAGAAAACCAACACTTGTCCGTTGCCGGAAACATATTACGGAAGTTAGTCACCGGCGACAATGTCCAACGTCCAGACGATCGGTGGGAGCAATCGAGTGATGAGGAATCAGCCACATTCGACACATTTGAGATGCCATTGGATTCGCCAAAAAATTCTTCTGAAGATGAGCAATCCGCCGCGGTTTGTCGGTTAATTCATTTAAATTTCAATTGAAGCAATGGCTTCGCGAATCTCAAAATTAATTAATTAATCATCATGTGATCAAACGGTGAATAAATAAATAAAAATTAATTCATTTTTATTTTTATTGATTTCGTTTATTAAATCTTTGTTAGCTGCTTGTTTGACATTCTCGTGATTTATCTTTCACGATCTTTTATTTTATCTTATTTTCATGATTTTTATGATTTTTTATTTATTTATTCATTTATTTTATCTTATTTCATTATTTTATTATTTACATTTTATTTTTTATTTTATACCGGATTGGGCACTTAGCTAGAATCAGAATACTGATGTTTTAGGTGTCACCGACCTCATTTATTGCCATCTATGGCCATAAAACTGAATTTTGACTCTTTTCTTGAAAGGACCATCTTTTGAAGACAGGCGGGCCGATTTTCGAACTTTGATATTTTTTCTTGATCTATGGCCCAAGGGCTTTCCAACCATACACAGGCTGGAGGCCTTCCAGGTTAGAATTTGGAAATTACATGTATTTCAACACACTAAAGTGGTTTCGTCATTCGCGCGTTCTGCCGTCCGTTGTGATTCGCTCAATAATACGCGACAATAATAAAAATCACGATAAAAAAATCACATTTTTTAACGGGAATTCGTCGAATAAAACCACTGGCGAAGACGTAAGTTCAAAAGTGCACAGCACAAACGCCTAACTGTCAAAATCATGTAGTTGAAGCAACTTAAGTTACAATTGTAACACAATCGACGCGAACAACCTCAATTTTAACAATTCAAATCGAAATACAGAAACATTTTTTTTTATTTTCATTTATTCTGTTCAATACAATTAAATTCCAATACTTCGGTTGTGTCGAAAAATCGAATAAAATTCTTTCTTAAAATATTTTTTGACTCATTATTTGTATGTCTTCATGGTTCAAGTAATTGTGGAGATATTTCACAGCCAGAATATGTCCCGTTAATATGGCAATCATGAATGATTTGTTTCCAATTTTCATCCTCAACCAAAACAAATGGATTACCAATAATTACGAGAATAGCTCTGAAAATAAGAAATAAATGATATAATTTTCTATGTGCTTAGGTTTATCAACAATTGTTAGTGTGTGCAATCGTACCGTGCGCGACTGATAGCAACATTCAACCGGTTTTTATTTTTGATAAAACCGAGACCAGATTTTCCATCGTGTGAAACATTCTTTATATTCGCTCGAACAGTTGATATGACGATTGCATTTCTTTCTTGTCCCTGGAATTCTTCAACGCTTCCGATTTTCGGTAGTTTCCCTTCAAAATATGAATCACAAAGTTGACGGATATTCTTAACTTGCAGTGCATATGGTGTAATTACTCCGATGTCATCTTCGGTAAGACCACAGTCATACAACTCTTTTATAACTTGTGCCACCTTTTGGAACAAACAAAAATCAACCAATCAACAATTTAATATTTTTACAAAAAAGCACCCGTTTTTTTTTTACCTGATTCACTTCGCTCAGATTTCTCCATGAGGTTGAGTCATTTGGTCTTTGGTCTTCACCCTTAATGCCCAAGAAATAGACACCAAATTTTGGTGAATGTTTTAGTTTAAGACTTGAATTATTTCTCGACTGGAACTTTGCAAGAAGTCTTTGTTCGTTGCTATCTTTGTCCGAAACGTTCGCAATTAATTTCGAATCATACGATAAATTGCTGTATCTTGCAAGAATACTCGGTAAAGATCGATAATTGTGCAACAGTTGTGTTACCATACGTTCGTCAAAGCCACCATTTCGCTGAAATTGGAACAATGTTAAATTAACTCTATTGTGTTGAATCACATGTCGAAAGTGGAAAATAAATATTTAAAAAAATATTCCAATTACCCCAACGTCCTTATGATAGGGCAAAAGATCCAACAGACGAGAAAGTAAGCTTTTATCTAAGCCACATCTTCTGCCAATGGGCGAAAGTACGATTGGTCCCAATTGGTGTGGATCACCAGCCAAAATAATTTGACCATTGTCTCTGTCAATCAACGAAATCGGAATTGCGATTTCTGGTTCGGTACATTGGCCAGCCTCATCAATGATTGCATGAGTAAAATGACCTGATTTAAATTTCATATATAGTAATGATCCAAATGTGTTGCATGTACTGATCAAAATACGATGTAAACTAATAACTTGTGAGTTGCATTGCACACGGATGCCATTCTCAAATGGATTTTGTGGTTCGGCTGTTGATCTTGGCGCAGCAATATCAACTGTCATACAGTGTGGCCGAAGTTCGTCGGGTATTTGTTCGCGTTCGATGGCATTTTGACTAACAATTCGAGCAAATTCACCTGCTTTCAATGCACCACAATCAGCTAATAGTTTTGTTATCAAATTAGCAGCACTGTTTGACGGAGCAGCAACAATTAAACGTGTACTCCCTTTTTTGTACAGCTGCAATATAATTTCAGCTAAGGTTGATGTTTTTCCGGTGCCCTGATAAATTACAAAAAAAAAAAAAGAAAACAAATTGTTTGACAAATGCGGACATTGTATTTCGATATTATCAGCGCAGACTCGCAGCTGATTGAGATGATCTAAAGATAATATCTTTAAAAATGAAAAACATTTTTTTTAAATCAGCACCTACCGGCGGTCCAAAGACCAAATATGGACACATTTTAACCTCTCCCCGTAACACATTCACAACGGCTTGTTTTTGTATTTCGTTGAGTTTTGGATTAAACCATACCATCTTTTGTTTTGGATAATCCAAGATCATTTCACCATCAATTAACTTGACCTGCATCTGTGGTCGATCGCCAGTTTTTATTGAACTTGGAAATAGGAAGCCTGAGTTAGTATTTAGTAATTTCTTCGAAACTCTTTCGATGGCATTGTGCCACTTCATAAATTTTGTTCGTGAAAATTTAAAGGTAAGCTTGTAATCTTCACCAAGATAATTATTATGGAATTCATCATTGAACTTCAGTAGTAAACGATTTTTCGTCATTTTATGAATGTAACCTTGATATTGTTGATTGTTTGTGGTTTTTAATAAACTTTCCGCATAAACCATGTCACCGATAACAATTGATGGTCGACATTCGAAAACGTTTTTCTTCATTTCGTATGCCAAATATTCTCTATCTCGTACAAAATGACCGCGATCTTGATCGTACGTTCGAAATTCAATTCGCATGAAAACCTCTTCGAAATATAACAATGTATGAAAGTAAGATGCATAATTTTTCTTTGACAACGAACTGAAAACGTCACCATACATCCTTTCAACCATATCATACAAATCAGCAGATGTGTTGACTGCCATTGTTTCGAGAAATAACTTTTCTGGCACTTCGAAGCGCTCCAATCTTCACAGAAAAAAAATAAGATAGAAATGTTGAATTAACTGTTTATTGATTTAATTTGAAAATAAAAAGAAAACACTTTATTTTACCTATTATCAATGAAATGAGGTGATGAGATCGGAGCCTGACCTTTGCTTATTTCTCGTTTGTTTGTATAGATCTTTTGAGTGTACGCTTTGGTTTGTTTAACTCGAACATATTCAACTTCCTCAACATTCTTCACATCCAATGTAAAACATCGACGCACTGAATACTTGTTGTCGATTTTAAAATCAATTTTAACTTTAAACACACCGGTAAGAATACCAATTAAATTGATTTTATAGACATAACGATCACCTGGCCGAATATCGTGTGGTCTATAGAGTTCGTCGCATTCGAGTTGTGATGCAAGGATTTGATTTTGAAATTTGGCTGGTGAAATTTTCCGTGTACGATCTGATACATTTGTGGCAGTCAATTCGATGTATTTTTTCTCTTTCGATCCGTCCAATACCACGCTCAATGATTCACTCCGGGTGAAAACTATGCCAGCATCTTCACAATCAATTTCATCATCTGACTCAACAATTTCCGTGTCATTGTTTTCGAGTGATGATGAGGTGGCATTTTTGCTTTTATTGGATGAGATCTTTGTAATTTTTATACAACGAAAGAAGAATTCTCCGTAGTCAGGCTTTTGAAGGCTTGAAATAACTTCAGCCACAACGGTATCACCTTCGTTTGGCACGGCATTTTGTTTTTGATTGTCCGAATGTTGCAAAATATCGACGTAAAATATATACTTGTTATCGATTAATCCGTACTTCAATTTTTTTTTGAACGCAGTTATTTCACCTGTAACGGTTTTTCGTTCATTTGCTTTCATCCCATAATATCCAAATACAGTACATTCCGATGGATTTTCACGATTTATTCCAAACAGTGCTTCAACTTCGACTTGATCACCAGCCATTGGATTGAATGTACATTCCGATTCGCTGATAAGAATTTTAATCGGTTGTGGCGTTTCAGGGCGTGTATCAATCACAATTTCACCATTAAATTTCTGTTTTATTTCACCTCTCAGTACTCTTAAGCATGTGTTTAATGGAATCGCACTATTTTTATTGGTACCATCGATGTCTGCTAATGTCGCGTCCCAGTATTCTTCTTCAACTGAATCAATTTTGTAAATAACAATTGGCTGATCGTCGGATATTTTACGTGCCGTACATATCACCCAATCACCAATCTTCAATTTTTTATTTGCCATTGATCCACTAGTGAGCATATATTTGCCATCGATACGACCATTACCGTCACTGTAAAGATGAGTCACTTTGCCTGAAAGTGAAGTCAACAATCGTAAAACGTAAATTATGCCTAACATTTTAGTATCACTCGAATCTTTTGCTATCCGAAAATGAAACAAAGTATACAAAATTTACCTTTGTAACGAAAAAATTCGGCGTCTGGCATATATGACTCCTCAACATGATGATTTTGTTCGCCAGCTTCATCTTCATTGCCCAATGTTTTGATTTTTTCTAAAATCGCTTGATATTCGCGAACATATTGATCTCTTGTTGGCTGTGGCGCTAAACATTTATTGTACAAATAGTTGGCAATGTACATTTTTTACTTGTTGGCTCGATTGAGACGATCGGTATGAAATTAATTCAATTTGTTTTCGTTTGGTTTGTAGAATTTTTAGAATACTGTGACAAGTATAAAACACTTTTTGCCGTTTTCAAATAGCTCGTATCGTAAACAGAATCAAACAATTGACGAAAATTGTGTTGAAAAATAATACAACTCTGTTTAATGCGATGCAAATGTCACGGTTCAGATTACACACACCATGTCCCAATTGAAAAGCATGTTCATGCAAAAGTGTTAGGTTAGAATAAAAGAAAGAGAGAAAGAAAAACACACAAATGCCGCTTAACACACACTGCTCTCGCATTCAAACAAACACTCACACCACTATATGCGGATACAATAGCGGCACACAATTCATCAGATGCGCATGGGACTGAGAGCGTGTTTACGCTGTTCAATTATGAATACACAGCCGTATATTTGTGCAATATAAAAATCATTTTGCACAATTATTTGTTCCGTTCGGAGAACGTGTTTATGCATTGATTTGTTCTGGATTTATCAAATTACCTCTTAAAGGAGAAATTCATTCAGCGAAAATCTAAAATGTTTTAATCCATGCGTCCTTTGTTGTGTACGAAATTTCTTATCTTGCTCTTTGCGTTGCCAGTTCGACAATGTGAATTTTCTATTTTTGTCAACTCTTGATTTTTGCACAATGGGCATTGAGAAAGGTGTTTGACAAATTTTCTACTAGATTATTTTTCTATTACAGTTATTAATTTTATTCGTGATTCCATTGAACACTTTAAAAACTCTTAAAAATATCTTTTTTTCGTAGATAGATAGCAACCAAAATTAGAAAATCTAGATAAATATTAGATTATTAGTTATTTTGTTCTTCATTATCTAGATAAATAATAGATAATGTCTTAGGCAAGATATCTTTCAGATATCTTCAGATAAAGATATCTTTGCCAAACACTGTTTTCTAGGCCTCCATTAAGATAAACACACTCCACTCAGAACCGACGTCAAGTATAGTAACAGAGATACCATAATTTCTAAAAAGATTTTACGTCAACTAAAGTTGAAGTTTTTATGACGCACGATATCCTAAAAACAAAAAAGACAATTTATTTGTTGTTCTAATTTTTATTATTTATTTTCATCTTTATAAATATGCAACTTTTTAATATAGATATTTTTATATACATAATTCTGTGTAAATGAAGCTCCTATTTTAAAATATTTTCTTTCGATTTATAAAAACAATATCTTTTTATTGATAACAATTATTATTGCAGTATATAGTATTTCATATGTTTTTTTTTCTTCATCATCTAATAAATGTTTTTTTTTTCTTTAATTTAAATAATTTATTTCTCTGTGTTTTATATATAGTTCTAGCTATCATTGATGTTTTTTTTTATTGGAATTTCGTAAATTAAACAGTACACTATTTAAATGTATTGCAAAGGTCAGTTGTGTTTATTTTTATTTGCAAATTTCGAGGAAAATCATTGTATGCTTTTTATGTTGATTATTGACCGTTGTCAATTGGGTAAAAGGAATTGGTTAGGCTCTGAAAAGAGACTGCAGCTTATGAAATTACATTGAATTTATTTAATACAAATATATTTATTGATGTTCTCATACAGACAGTGCAGAATATGACAAAAATAAAAGGTACACCAAAATGGGTCGAATATACATATGCAAAGTCCAATCGATAACGACTAATACAATAAGCAGAGTTTCATAACAATCATATTTCACCTTTGCTAATACAATAAAAATAATTGAACTCATTTCAATAGTGTGTGTGTGTGTGTGTAAACGAATATTTTGCTGTTTTGTTTTCACATTTTTTTTGTTATATATTATACGTGTATATCACTTTTGACTTTTTTTTATGTATATATATATTTATATGCTTCTGTTCACTTCCTATTAAATAACATTTCATGTGATTATAATTGTTTATTTTTGTTGTTGTTTTAAAAATAGCCACAGAGAGTGTGGATAAAATCAAAATGAAATGTACCTCGCTCTCTGTTGGGTAAAATTGACCATTTCTCAATAATTGAGCCAAGAATATTTTACTTAAAAGATTTCATTAATTTTTTTTTTTTTATAATTTATAAAGAAGAAAATGCACACTTAAATGACCTTCAAGGCTATTACTACTTCGCTTACTCATTTTGAAGTTGAAAAATAAAAATTCTTCGAAATGGAACGCTTTTCAATGGCAGCGACTAACCACTCGACAAATGCTGGATTTGATTTATTTATTTGATTGCTTTCACTGCGTCACCGCAACACTCACATTCAACAGTTATCTACTTTCTGAGTGGATCTAGGCTTTCGAGTGTAAAATCATCTATGAGCCCCAATTTGTTGTTGGTCGTCTAATTATATAAATAAGAAAATAATAGAATAGATGAAAATGTTCTTGGCTACAACTCAACATGCCAATTTTGTTACATCCAAATGGATAATTACACGGTGGCAATTTAAAAGAAGTGACAGAAGAGGAAAAAAAATTGCAAGTCTAAGTTGTTACGAGAAACCAAATCCAATACATTTGTTTTAGGCTAATTTATGAGTATATCTATTATTTTTTTTTTTGTTTAAATTATAAATCAGAGAGTCGTGTATTCGTGCAGTGATCGTTTTGGTCATGCTACTTGGAAAGTGTGAAAGAGGATCGTACTCAGTTGCGAGGTTACACAAAAAGGAAATAAGTGCTGGGTGCAATCAAAACCATAATTATCACCAAAAATGCATGATTTGCTACGTCCTAAAGTATTTTCGTGACCATCACCTTACATCAAACCAAATCGATAATACCTTTAAGATAAACTACAGTTACTATTACATTTAGATGTATATATATATGTGTGTTATGAATATTGCATTTTAATAAAACGTTGATCGTTTCTCTCCACCTCCTCTGGCTCTCTCTTTCTATCTTTCTTGCTCCTGCCATTCGCAATCGGTTTGGTTCGAATTTATGTGCGAACAGCATCAAAACCAGAAATTTTATTAAAAAATTCATGATTTTTGTGTCGTGTATTATTGAATTCGTTGAATAGTCCCATAGCAACATCTGCAAATAAATCAGCCGGAATTTCCTTTTTGGTCTCAGTTTTTTTCTCGTTCAATTGTTCCGAATTTGCAAAAATACTTGATTTATCATCAACATCGAGTTGTAGTCGGCTCAAATCTAATGCATTCAATTCATTCCATGCGCTTTTTTCGTTGGCCAATGAAAATGGATTTTTTTCAATTTCATCTGGTTTTTGGGCGCCCATACCACCACCATTTACTATTTCGCTCATGTTCGATGGTGACGGTGATGCTTTATAGCTATTAAATATTGCATTAAGATTCTCATTATTTGTTGACAAAAATTCAAATTCTTTTTTCGGTGTGGCCGTGTACTGAGCGTTTACTGTACTTGGTTCGCAAAATGCTGATGCCACTGAATCATTGAATGGATTTTGATGAGTTGATGCGGTCGATTGTTGTAATACACTCTCAAAACTTAAATCGTCATGCAATGTAAATGCACTACCCAATGTTGCTGGCAACGAATTCTCTGACATCGTCTCCTCTTTCTGAACCTAAATTACATATAGTAGTGAAGTTGTGCATTTGTTGATTTACGGTGCAAAAATTCAAAAAATTTCATTCGTTTATGAGCAAATTCATGCAAGTTAGTAGTGGTAATAATAAAAGTGTGTTAGTCAAAGATAAAATCATATTTACAATAGAATTAAGAAGAAAAAAAGATCAATCGAATCGAGTTGCATGCAATTATTCAACGGTGAGCATTTGAAAGAATCATGAAAAAATGATTACGTTGTATGTATATGATACTTACATCAAATGGACTTGAATCGAATGGCGTTGAACCGAACAGATCTTGATTTGTTGTCACATTACCATTGCGCCGTGGAATCGTTGCCTTGGGCGGTGGAGCCACTGTGAATGAATGAATATCATCTGATTATTTTTACGTTTATTAATTTTTTTTCTCAATCAAATTTCATTGATACTAACACAACGGTGTTGTTTTGGCGGCTCCATTGTTGAGATTGCCATTTGTTGAGCCGTTCATCATTGAATTGGCGTTCATCGTAAATAATTGTTGACCCATTGTTGTTTTTGGTGGCTCAAATCCAAAGAATGATTCCGACGAATTCTTCTCGGTGGCGAAAATGTCATTTTCATCGGCACGCGGATCAAAATCACTATCCGAATCGGAATTCAATAAAAGTCCTTCAAGTTTTGTGCCAACCGATGGCTTCAATGCGTCCAGCGTTGAGCTTATTTGGCTTTGCAAATTTCTTGGTGGAACAATCGGTGCAAAATGCTTATCAGATGTTTCTATCAATAGCTGATCATCATTATTTGGCGATGACACATCAATTCCTGTGGCAGTTTAAAAAAAAAGAAAGAAATTATGAGTTTTTTTTGGTTTAATACATTTAATTTAAAAAAAAAAAACCAGAGTATCATGATTTGCTGCTGCTCAGCATATAGCTGAGAGCTGAGAAATGCTGAACTCGTGCGGCTAAAGCATACGAAACGGATGCACGCACACATGCATTCTCCCCGTTTAAACGGTTATAAACAGTTGATTGGATGTTCAATTCAAAACTCAAAACTTAGTAACCAGTTGAGTTTGAAATTGTGTTGCAACCGACATATGAGAAGCTGCGAGAAAAACATCACATCGCATCCCTCGTTATTTTGCCTACGTAAGTGAAAGCAAGAGATGGGATGCGACGTGCTGTTTTTGCTCTCAGTCTTTCATATATTCTGAAAGTGTACGTCTAACGCATACAAAACAGATGCACGATACATATTCCCCTTCCACTTCGTATGTTCACTGGTATAGTGTGTTACCGTTGTACCGGCAATAGCGTCAACGGCAGCATATACGAAGCGAAAGGGGAATATGTATCGTGCATCCGTTTCGTATGAGTTAGCCGCACGAGTTCAGCATTTCTCAGCTCTCAGCTATATGCTGAGCAGCAGCAAATCATGATACTCTGAAAAAAACATTGAATACGCTACCTAAATCTGGAGTGTTGCTTCCATTGATATTTGCAACATGATTACCAATGCCGTTCTCTTGTTGTGGCAAATCCAAAATATCACGAACGCCGTAACGCATCAATAAGCGATCAAGATCACTCTTTGGCAGAATCTCGGCCAAATCTTTCAATCGCTGACAGTATGCCTCGATTTTTTGCTCCAAATACTTGTTTTGAGATTGCAACTTTGCCACCTCTGTTGTTTTTCCACTTTCGTTGACATAGCGCCTACACAAAAATAAACGGATACATTTTGATAAAATTTATATTTGAAGTTTTCTTTGTCTTTCATACCTGTAGGCTAATTCAAATGCTTGACCAATGGTCAATGTGATGTCCGATGCCAATTTGCTTGAGATGAATACAAAACACTCGTGCGTCTCCTCCGCTGTACGATCAGTTGAATCATTATTGCTGGATGCACTATTTTTAGCTATGAAACTATTAAAAATGCAAAAGAACAACGAAACAATCAGATTTATGCATGATTTGATGTAGAAAACTAACTAACCTGAAAAATTTCTTCACACCCTTTTCGTCAGCACAATATGAAATATTATGCAATGGAAATTGATGCAATATCTTCGTTCCACGTGGTTCCTGTAAATGGGAATTAAATAAAGGGTTATCATTGCATTTTGATTGCTCAATTTAGTAATCTACGTCGCAAAAAGTGAAGAAAAAAACTTACTTGAATAGCTACTCCATCGACGCTTATGGTTATTTCGACCTTTTTCGTCTTAACATTCGATCCAGATTCTGCTTTTTTCATCTGCTGTGAAAATTGCAATCGTCGAATTGCATCTTTAACGGTTTCAATACCTTTCGCTTGATCAACAGGAGTGCAGCCCAAAAACTGTAAATAAATGTGCATAAACGATTTTAATAACATCTATTATTGCTATTGGAAAAATACAAAACTTTATTATGGCACACGATAGCCGGGACAATAAATTCAGATTTTTTTTTATCTCTCAACGTTGATCGAAGGGATTTAAAGAGTCGAGAAAAATCTAGAAATACAAATTGGTTTTTTTTATGTTCCTGTCCACTAAAGCCGGTATTATCAAGAACAATTCCAATTTTATGTTTCATGATTTATATAACGGAAATTTCCGTATTTCCGTTTAAAACCGCACAAGAAATTTTGCCGAAAACAAGTGAGAATTTCATGAGTTTAAGCAAAGTTATAAACATTTAATTGAGGAATATCTCGGTACAGCCTCGGTAATTACATTTTAAAATATGTAAAATAATTATTGAATTTGAATGAGATTTTGAAGCACTTGATCTCTGTATGACGTGTAAAAATGGGTGTATAAAACTAATCAATATTTATTGATTATTTGTGACACACTTGATGAATCACATGTATTTCAATCATTTAATGTGAATGTGAAGAGAAAAAAATTGGTGATCCACCCCTTGTTAGTTCAATAAAGAATCGGCGAGTGCTGAGTTCAGCTTTATTTTATTATCTTTTTAAAACAAACATCACGGAAAGTGTGGTTTCCGATTGTTGTTGTTCGTAGTGAATGTTGATTCATTTGAGTGTAATCTTATCGCAACTGTGTGTACAAAGCGCATTTCGAATCGTTCAATTTCATATACTAACAAAAATCTAGTTTCTGCTTTGTAATCATAATAACAATAATTTTTTGTTACCGCTTTTTTATATATTTGTTTTGTACGATAATTTATTGAATAATATGGAAAGCATCATTAGAATACATTTTGTTGTTATCAGTTTGGTTTTCTGTGTACTGGTGATGTAAGCATATGTCCTGTATAATACAGGAAAACCAAAAGAGACACTTTTTACTTGTGTCTTACGTTTTCTTATTTTCGACTCTATCAGTTATTATTACTGATAAAAATTGAGTCTAGCTATATAAAAAGCCTTGGTTTGTGTTCAAACGTTGATTGAAATTACGACAAAGTGGTCACGAAACACTGTTTAATTATTTGCATTTTTGTAGACGGATCATTTGTTCGCATTACAGTAAATTTCAAATAATCAGCGTGTTTCCAATCGAGAGAGAGAGAGAGTGAGAGAGACAGAGAGAGAGAGAGAGAGAGAGAAAACGTGCACAAAAGAAGAAGACAACGACGACGACGGAAAATAATAATACTCTGGAATAAAGTGGAATTTTTGCTGTGAAAAAGAAAGTGTGAAATTAAGAAAAGATAAGTAAAATGGCGTGTAAAAAAGCAGCAAAATCGTCATGTGAATTTGATATTCCGGTGCCAGTGAGTTTGATGCAGCCAATGTTTGTAAAAGAGAAACGTTTGCTTGGCGCTGGACCATCAAATCCACCAAGTGATGTGCTAAAAGCATTGTCATTACCTATGATGGGTCATTTGCATCCAGAAACATTGAAGGTGAGAAATTTCCCATTCACACAACAAATTAAAATTAATTTGCTCCACATTTTCCACGTTATTGTGCGCGCACACATACACACAGATTATGGATGACATAAAAGATGGATTGAAATATGTATTTCAAACCAGCAATCCCTTGACATTGTGCATCAGTGCAAGCGGCCACGGTGGGATGGAAGCGGCATTGTGTAATTTAATTGAAGAGGGTGACGTTGTGCTGTGCGGTGTGACTGGATTATGGGGTAGACGAGCTGGAGATATGGCAACACGATACGGTGCTGATGTTCGTTACGTTGAGACTGGCAACGATGAAATTCTTACCATGGATATACTTAATGCATATTTTGAAGTGCACAAGCCAAAAATATTCTTTGTTACACAAGGCGATTCATCGACTGGTGTCTTGCAACCGATTGAAGGTCTTGGTGATTTATGCCAAAAGTAAGTTGTAAGAAATTGCGGTATCATATCATTTAATTACTAGCCAGCTGTACTAATAGAAACAATGAACAATGATATGACTAACTAAACATTCGGGTTGTTGTACACGTCTGTTTCAGATATGACTGTTTGTTGGTTGTCGATACAGTTGCATCTCTGGGCGGTACGCCATTTTTCATGGACAAATGGAAGGTTGATGTCGTTTACACTGGCTCGCAAAAAGTACTTGGGGCACCGCCGGGCCTTGCTCCCATCTCATTCAATGCACGTGCAATTCGAAAAGTTTTACAACGTCATCATAAGGTGCCCGTTTACTATTGGGACATTATGCTATTGTCAGATTATTGGAATTGTTTCAATAAACCAAGAATGTACGTACTCAATCGATATTGACAATTCTATAAAATTTTAGTACATTTATTGAATTATTTTCGTTTATTTTGCACAGCTATCATCATACAATTTCAGCTACATTATTGTATGGTTTACGCGAAGCTTTGGCTGCTGTATGCAAAGAGGGATTGGACAAAGTTATCGATCGTCATCAAAAAGCATCGACCGAATTGCACAATGGATTGAAACAGCTTGGAATGGAGTTGTATGTGAAAAATGCAACATATCGTTTGCCAACAATAACATCGATAAAAATTCCAAAAGAAGTTGACTGGAAGCGAATTGTTGACATCGGTGCAAATGAGTATGTGTTATTTTAAAATGGTTGTGCATTAATTAAGTGTCAATGTTTTATTAATTGACATAATAAATTGTATTCATGCATATGTTTCAATCATTTTTTTTTTGTTGGCAGTTATGCGGTTGAGATTGCCGGTGGCTTGGGTCCAACTGCTGGACAAATTATTCGCATTGGTCTTATGGGAGAAAATGCAAGGTCAGATTATGTTGCAACCGCATTGAATGTTCTGAGAGAGGCCATGAGAAATATCCGCACACTTTCAAATCTTTGAAGCAGCCATTAATTAGTTTTATTATAACGAACAAATGAAGCTGGTGTCAAACTCACGACATCGCCCAACTCTAAGTTTACTCATATTGTATTTACATATTTTTAAATGGATTTGAAATCTAGGAATTCAGTAAATATTTGAAATAAAAAGCGTTGAGTAGAAGCGCTCATGTAGAAGTGAATGAAAAAAATAAATAAAATAAAATGTAAATGAAATCGATTTGAGTCGAACCGGTGTGTAGTGTTTTGTACTTACTTTGACTAGATAGGCAACGTGTCCGTTCATCAATGACTCGGGCGAATGTAGCCACGTCTTCTTTCCATTCTTTCCAGACGAGCCATTCTCACTGCCGTTTTGGTTTGCGTTACCGTTTTGCTTATTCCAAAACATGAGCGTTGACATCGCTTGCGATGGTTTAGTTTTCTTCGTTTCGGTCGCCAGTTTGACGTTTTAAATGTATATACAATCTCAGAAGAATAATCAAAACGTGAACGTGTCCTGCAAGAAACAACAAAAAAAATATTAAAAAATCGATATAATTTGACTACCCGTAAAAAAATGTGTGGTATCACATTTTGTCATCGGCAAGCGAATAAAGTCGCCGCAAAACAATAGCACATTTATGGAATTATGACCTGGTAATTTTGTTCGAACATAAATGGAATGCCATAAGATTTCACTTCGGTTTTTTTTTGCTTACAACAATCACCTTGTTTCGAAATGGTTGCAAACAATACTGGACAAAAGACAGAACAAAACGGCACTACAGTTTTGATTCATCCGATTTACAAATCAAAAGCTTGACATTACTCAACTTTAGTCGCAATTGAAACCGCATTTTATTTTTCATTTAAATAAAATGCGTTTCATTATTTTTCCTTCATATTCAATTCAATAATTCGTTGCGAAAGCACAAATGAATTCAAATTCAAATTTTTCCTCTTCTTTCCCCCTCTCTTTCTTTTTCAATAGAAAAATGATTAATTAACTGTCATTTAATCAACCGCATCAAAGTCACAAGTCAGAGTGGCCAAAACGATGTGAAAATATTACAGCATTCATGAAATATTTGTTCGAAAATTGTTGCAAAGTTTTTTCTAAGTGTTTTGTCTATTAGTTTCCTATTGAATTTAATCGTTCGCCTATTTTCATCGGTTTTCTCTTTCAAAGCTCTTTCTCATCTGACGAAGTTCAAGTAGTACTTTTCCGTTTTTGCAGAGAAATAAGCAAGCGCACATACACAGCACCAAATAACCTTTGTTATTACATGTCGAGCGATGCTGTTAGATTTGCGCCAGATCACATATTTATTTAAGACGAGAGAGTGTTGCTTATTGCTTATTGCGCACCACCGACAAATCAAAAGACACACGCAAACATACACGATACTGCAACGGAAACATACAAGAAAATTGAACGAGAGAGTGAAAGAAAAAATTGAACACACACTTGGAGCTGCAAATTTGAACAAAAATGATGAAAAATTAAAAGGGGCTTTCTGTTGCGCAGTTTGTATCATTTGATTATTATTATGTTCGAAGAGCAATGTGTTCATATTCATATTGGATTACATGTGCGCGGCGGCATGCGCCTATAAGTTATGCACACAGTGCGACTCAATGGAATTTATAATTAATTCCGCATTAAATTTAAACTTTCATTTTCTCAATATGTGTATCTCCGTGTCTCACTGGATTTGCACATACATATATTTATTTATTTTATTTTTATATATATATATATATTTTGCTTCGTATCTATAATTAGGAGCACAATTAAAATAAAAGAAAAACGTGATTCGAAATCGCGCGTCGTTCGCAACAAAGCCATTGGTAAACAATTCCACTTTGTACTGCCACCCGTCAGATGCTCACACACTCACACACACACATACACACACAGCTGACAGGCTGATTACTTTAGTGCGTGCACGTCACATAAATAAGCAAAAAGACATAAACCAACGAACTGCTCGACAAACAAAACAGAAAATATGAATATGAATAAATAAGGAAAAACATATTTGTTTGACCAATGTGGACAACATTTTTTTTCGCATTATATGATAACAACAATCGAACGACCAGAGACTCAAAGTCAATGATTCATTTTGGTGCAAATTTCACGGCTTCATACAATGTATACGCAAACAAACCGTTACCAAATGACGTAGACATTGGCCACTTGAATGAATTGTCGGAGAATAGAGAGAGAAACAAATATATAGCCAACCGCATTAAAATACAATTGAATATTACCTCAAATATGACGACTGCAATTACTTTGCTTTCATGTCATTTTTTTTCTTCTTCTTCTTCTTCTTTTCTGTTAACACTTTCATTTAGTCTTTATGCATGGTGTATCCATGCAATGATATATTTTTTTTAATCATTTAAACATATGCATCTCTATATATAGTATGATTTGCGTTTTGTGTTTCGATTCCGCCGAATGCATGTTCCGTCGTGACCACAGTTTTCATTTTAGCATCCCATGAAATATTATACTATAAGTTGACTTGACATATATGCATTAACGGCGACTAGCATTTCGTCCGATTGAGCGCTTGATTTTTTATCTCATGCCACGGAAGTTCTATCTCCGCGAACTGCATTTTTATCGTTTAATTTTATTTCATGACAGCAAATTCACTTCGTTTAACGAAGAAAAAAATATGTGTGTACGAAAATGATTTTGCGGTATTTGTCGGTGTTTTGCACGTGTGTGTGTCCATGAATTCCAATTTGATTTGCTCTTGAATCATGCACGAAAATATCGACGAATTAACAAGAGTAAGCAAGCAGCCAACTTTCTAACCGCTAGTTCAAACAGCATAATGTATGTCAATGAATGAAATGGAATATGAGCATGAGCTTAAATGCCTTCTCATACCATCATTTAATACAACTGAAGAGAGAGAAGAAAGAAAAAAAAGATATGCGCGCGTTCGTAAGTAATGTAGCAAAACTACCTACTACATTGTGTCAAGAAAAACACTTATTGCTCGCCCCTCAATATGCTATATGGATGGATGTACGTGTACAAAATGAAACATCAAACGCATTATGAATAAAGAAAGGAAAGAAAAAAAAATCACACATTCAATGAGAAGTCAGAGCAGAAAAAAATGCGACTATATCTCTCCAGAATGCACAAAACAAATAATAATAAGTGCCATAATCGCTTACTGTATGGCACTGGTGAAAAGAATTGCGAATGAGTCAATAAACTTGTTCTAACCTACATTTTTCTTCTTTTTCCCATTGTATTTTGGATTGCTGCTTTGTGACCAAACCATTTCTGTGTGTGCATATTTCAATTCTCTATATTTCATTCGCTCTCTCTCTCTCTATTTCTGTCAATCGTTCTCTTTTCCTTATACCTTCATTTTGTATTCAATTCGCGCATTACATTTTCCATGTCTGTCGAGTGTATATGTTTTGCCGAGCAAACCGCAATCTCTATAAGTGTTATAGTTTTGCAATTTTGTTCCATTCAAAACCAATTACTCCGTCTTTTTCTCTCAATTTTTCCACACATTTTTCAACATACGCGAGATTCGATTCCAATGACAATTTCTGGGAATGAAAATGAATTTATATTTTTCTCGAAAAGAAAAAAAACGCTGTGCGTTTTGTGTTTTTTTTTTTTTTTGTTTTCTTCTCTCTTTAGATTTGTTCATAGAAATACAAATTGTTATTATTATTGTTGTGTTTTTTTTTTCTTCATTGTGTTCTGGCCATTTGAAAAGTTAATTAAGCAATCGCCTTATTTCTTTTATTTTCAATCAAGTATAGATGAACATGAAAACGGTGTGCTCGTATGACATTTACAGTTCTGCTTAATTTATCGATTCTTAGAATTCTTTTCTGTGAGCATCAATAGACGGAAAGAGTAGAAGTGACGAAACCCAATCACAGACCGATTACGTGATAGTTCAAAGCTAATTTGTCTCGATACTATGTGAAATCGTGTTCAAATGAGATCAATTAATTGTTTTTTTTTTCTCTCTCAACGATTCAAATATATTGAGAGTTTAGAATGATAGTACACGGATGTCAAAGTCATATTATTGAAACGTGCAATTTTTTTTTCATTCTTATTTCAATTGTTCATGATGATAAAAAAAAGCAGCAGCAATGTGAAATGAAATCAGCAACAGTGTGTTGACAGAATGAAGAGAGAAAAAAAACTGGTTTTCGTTTGATCATTGTGCACCATTGAAAGAATCAGCGACTGTGTCAAAATCACGCATTCAGAAATGTGTTTGTATATTAAATACCGTGTTTGAAACAAAACAAAACAGCGCACACCGAATTCCAACAACAGCAACAACAACCAAATAAAACAAGTACTAAACATATAAAAACAACATTGAAAAACACACCAACACAAAATAACAATTGGTTTTTGATACACCAACAACAGCAGCCGCACCACCAACAACAACAACAAATAAATTTGTAAAATCACGCCGCGTATTACATATTGCAATATATATTTATATATATCTCTGTAAATCGCACATACAGTGAGAAATATTTTATTTTTATTTTTTCATCTGTTTGCTCTCTACACATTATCGTCATATTAAAAAAAGACTTGATGGTGATATTGCTATAGTAAAGTGGGTGGTGCGCGCAATCGTAATCGTCATGTAGGACCACTGGAATTCGCATCGGCTATGTTTTTATCTCTCGATATTTGTGTTTATTTTTAGTCTTTTGAAAAAAAATAAAATATTATTAATTCATATTCATTATGATATGCATATATGTTTGATTCTTCCCATTGAAAATTGTTCAATCTTCAACTTTGCCACCAAATCATCACAGCAATGTATAATAATAGCAAGTAGCCTTGGTTTCAATATCAAAATATGTGTTTGTTTAAGTTAATGCTTTGATTTGAAATATACCGTATATTTGAATTTCACGATCGATACAGAGGGAGAGAGAGAGAGAGAGAGAGAGAAAAGCAAATATCACATTATTTGAATGCTCGCAGACAATGCGATATGAAATTGGAATTCGTATGTTTGCATTGCGCTCGATTCATAATTTTTTAGAGTAATTTCACCTGTGCGCATGCATTAAACTATTATTATTATTGTTGTTGTTGATGCTGTTGCTAATTCGAAACCTAGTTCCCATAAGCATTGTTGAATATTATTCCTCTATGGGCGAAGACGGTTGTTCTATTTCTTTTAATTTTGCTTTGTTTTTTTTTTCTCTCTCTCTCCTTTGTGTACGTTGTTCACGACATTCAAAGAAACCCCGAGAGCATGAGATGATGGCTAAACAATGAGACTTGTGAATCAGTTTGCACATAACAAAAACAGTTGATCAAATTAAATTTTGACGCAAACGCATTTGCATTAATATCGGGCGATCTTCATTGGACGAAGAATTAAAACAAAAACAAAAAAAAATGTATCATATACACTCAGAAAGTTGTTGAAACATCCATTCCATATGCGCTTATTTTTGGAATGAGTGTTTTGAGTGCTATTGCACTTTGTGTGTATACCATGTATAAACAACAGAAAAAAATGAGAAAAAACCATACCACACAACAGTGAACATTTCATATCAACGTTTTTTTTTCTCTTCTTCTTGCAATTTCTTTCGTTTTCATTATCCATTTTCCACGAAGTACCGAGTAGAAAATGTAATTTACGTAACTCTTCGCTAAATTCTACGAGATGTGTAATGAAAATGCGCTGGCTATTCATCGGAAAAATGATTGAATGGGATTGAGTTTGTCTGTAATTTTTCGGATTGTGGAACCTTGATTATCGAAACCGTATGGCTGCCAATTTTTTTCTTTTCTCTATCGTTTTTAAAGTATGATCAAAATGGTCAGTACTCTTGGTTGTATGAATAAAGTTTGTCAAATCATTTCGAATACTCAATATGGTTGTTTAGCATCTCTCTAAGATAAATACACGCACGCGTGCCGATGTGATTGTGCACAAAGTCCGAAATTGAAATCAGGTGTTGCGATCGACTTTTTTCCAACACACAAGTTATACGAAATTCATGAGAACAGAAAATGATTGGCGAATGAAAGTCTTAATGTATTGTTGCTGCAATGTGAGATTTTTTTCTTCTGTTGATTGTTGTTGGTTTCTTTTCTTTCTCAACTTTTTGACAAAGATAAAATTCTCTCATACCCAATAGTACACCACGTTCGCAAAAAAAAGGTCTTTTTTTGTATGTAATTTCGTGCGGCTTTTAAGCTTTCATACAATCGCCCGTTCGTGTTTCTATTAACACTACAAATAATTTGACGTGATTTTTTTTTTCTCTTTTTTTTACAACGATCTTTTTTTTGTCGTCAGCTAAACATATATCGATACGGACAACGGTGGCAGCGCAACAACGAGCAGCTCACCGAGAGAGTAAGATAGGCACTGTCCGGGCTGCACCATACAAGACTATAACGGAGATACGCAAAACACGCATTGCTCCGTGCATGATTGTAATTTTCAGATTTACCTCATTCTATTTCGTTTCATGATTTAGTATTACGTCGTGAATGCAGCAATTTTAAAATTATGAAAACATAAAAATTAAATGAAATAAAAAAAAACAACAACAAACAATTTATGTACTCGTTGTTGCAAATGTGTGACCAAATATCGTGTTTGTTGTGTGGTGGTTGGCACTTTAAATTACAAATTACGTTTTGTTAAATGCAAACGAAAACTAAAAACACATATACAAAATCTAAATCAAATAAATGAAAGATGTCGAACATTAAAATCGTCATGTCATAATTATTCAATTGCTAAAATTATCGGCGGCGCAATTGCAAGCCGTAAAACATTAGATGATGACTTACTCGTTTGATGGAAGAAAAAAAAGGTATACAAAAGAAAGAAACGCACGATCTCTTAAACGTACACACAGGAACAATTGAAATCTTTCTCGTTCTCTCGTCGGTCACACACAAGAAGAAAAAAAACCCAAGAACAATTTAATATCGCGATTTATTGTCGCACTTGAATCGTCTCCAGAAGAGCACTCAATGGTAACGATTGAACGTTTTATAATTGCCTAACACACCGAATCGATACACTCTTCGATTATGAGGTAGAAGTGGATTTTTTTTTCTCTGTAACAATGATTCTAATCAGCATTCGATTCTAATTGACAATCGTTCGATTTTGGTTTGTAATTGTCAGTTCGTTGTTATAATTTTTTTATGTGTCTCTTCTTTAATTCTGTTCCTTTTATCGTTTTCACCTCAACAATGCAAGATTGAATGAGGAAACTAGTTAAACAAACACAAGCACACACACACCACACGAGACAAGATGTAAAAGCAAATATCAAACAAAAACCACGATAGCAACTTTTGAGGAAATCAACATCGAAAAAAAAGTGAACGTAACAGTACCGAAAACACAAATAAAAAAAAAACAAATTCAGCAAGAGTTTACAACGGATTAAACGTTTTGTTCAATTATTTGCTCGTTTTATTTCTCAATTTTGAAAAGAGAATTCATGAAAATGATTCGCGTTTAATGCCGATGAATATATATTTAATATAAATATTGTGTTGTGTGTTTAACTTTCTCACTTCTCCTTTGCTCTTGGATTTATTTTATTTATGTATTTATTTTTTTAAAAAATTCAACTTTTAGATACGTTCTGTTCTCTACATGCATCTACATTTAACGAAAAACTAAACAAGACTGCAGATGAAACACAAATAATTTAAACCTGTTGATCGTTTATAACATTATTCCATCTTTTTTGCTTTTGCTTTGTTGCGCTCTTTGTTATTGTATACATGTTCGAAATGTGTGGTATGTGTGGATGTGTGCCTGTTTCTGTATGTGTACGGATGGCGAGAGAGAGAATGATACTTTCGACATTTATTTGTTGATCGGTGTGTACAAGTGGTTGTAATCATATTTGAAATACAATATCGATGTGATGTGTATACGGTAATGCCAGCATATTTCTCTCTCGCCACCACATTTACATAGGACAGTTTAAATATTTCGTCGTGTGCATTAGCATTATCGAGCACGTTATGAAGTGATGTGTATGTGCATGTTTGTTGCTATATTATAATTGAGAGTGTGTGTCTATATAGAGAATGTGTATACTGAAGATGGTAGTGATAGAGTAAGAGAAGAGAAAGAGAAAGAGAAAGAAAGAAAAAGATAATTCCGAGAGCACGCATTATGAGGAAAAAACCCAGAAATTTATGTTTTGAGACGAACTCAGCATTTGTAATTGTATGTACATTGCTTGTTCCATATTTGTCTTGATCTCTCTCTACCGAAAAAAATGTTTTTTTTTTGGAGTCTTTATATGATCAAACGATGCCCCACTGCAGCAATGCCATTCATCAACAAGCACAAAATCCATTCCACTATTACAATGAAATATATTTTGAATAAACTCAAATGAATTGTTTAGAAACTATTAAATCAATTTATGCATTAAATTTCGTGGTATTTCACATTCATATCAGTGTCTAACTTACATCGCAATGTCAGTGTAAGAGTGTATAGTAGTAGTAGCAGCAGCAGCAGCAGCAGCATCGATGCTGCTATTTACACAACTACAAACAATGGGCCGTCATTTGGTTTTTATAAACTTATTTCCAACTTTGTATCATATACGTACCGACTCATTGCTCGAAATTAAAATTGGAATGAAATAAACAAACAAACGAACGAAGAAAAAAAAGAGAGAATATTCAAGCAAAGTAAAGCAAAGCAAAACAAACCAATTTAATGAAATGCATTTTGGTTACAGTTGTTTATTGAAATTTTTTGTATCATTTCATTTATTTGCATATTTGTGTGTCTTTGACACTTTGGTAGCTCGCGAATTGAATTTTGACAACAACAACAATATACACGAACGATCTACATATATATTTATATATAAATTAAGAATTGAGAAATTGTGTCAATAAATAAATACATAATGCAATTAGCTAATATCACTCGAATAAATCTCTGTTTTACAATCGAAATGTTTGATTGATGAATAAATGAATGGTAAGGAGATGAGGATAAAAAAAACAGCACACACACAACGGCCATAGAAATAACGTGGAAAAGATGAATGATTGTAAACTTTCTTCATAGTCGATCATTTAATCACTTCCTTCTCGGATTGCATTTGATGCAACAGCGACAGCAGTAGTAGCGGTGGCGGCGGCGGCGGCTGCAGCAGCAGTACATGCAGAATTAGTATGTATGTAAAAGCCATGATCACGAATTTTTCGATACAACGATATGTATTTGCCAGCGGCTGTTGTGCGCGGCACGATATAACGTTCACAAAATGTGGTACGATTTTGTGCGGCTGCACTTAGTGTGCCATAGTTGAGATTTTGCAGGAAATCCAATACAAATGTATAGCAATTAAATGTGTCTTCATGATATGCGGCTGAGGTCCATTTAGTGTCTTTGGTTTTTTCCATTTTATGTAGAATATCATCCCAGTGTTCGTACCATGGTTCGGTCATCGTTTCAACGATAAGACTTTGTGACCAATGTGACGTGTCGCTTTGATTGGTTGGCGTCTTATGCAAACCCCATTGATCGAATTCAATGATTGTACCGTTCGATGTTGTCAGACCGATGTGCAAGTTCATTGCATTAAAATAATCGTTGAGAAAGTCACCGTGAGTGGGCCGCAATATGATCGAACATGGATGTTGATGCGGTTTTATGAATGGATACGGCAAACGAAACGGCATCATTTTATATGCATCGTCCGAATTCAATTCCGTTTGACATTCGGGACATTTGGCCAACAATTTTATCGAAAACACTTTATTTTTACAGTGTTGAAAGCATATTATACCGGGATCTTCAAAAACGGCTTTCATATTTGACGGCATCTAATCACAACACACAGACAGCAAATAAGTAATTAAAAAATCAATTTTAATACACCAATTATAACTTTAGCCGCAATCAATCGCACACTGACAACAGACCTACACTTTGAAAATGGAAATTTTGGAAAAGAAAAGAGAAAAAAAAATGCACAAACACAACAAATAAATAATGTCGAAATTCGAGAGGTAATCGGTTAAATAAAATTTGATTAGTGACAATGTGAAAATACCTGCGAGTTTTCGGTGAGCAATTACCCAAATGAATGCTTCGAATTGAGTGAATTCATTTGAAATGTTTGATCTAGTTAGCTTCTTGGTTACGAATAAGTTTTTTTTTAAAGAACAAGTGTTATGTGACCTGTTTTTCAGTGAAACTTTTTCAATTTCTTTCTTTTATTTTGCGTCTACGTTCAAACCAAGAACCAAGCGTATTCGACTGTAACTCGGTTTATTTCGTTCGTTCTTTTCTTTTCTGTTTTCTGTTTTTTTTTTTTTTTTTTTTTTTTTGGTAAAGTGTTAAGTTCTTGAAGGCACCGTGCACAATAACAAAGAACCAAACATCGATCGTACCGTCACATCGGTATACTGTGTTGTTTCATGAGGTTTTTCTTTTCCGCCAATGGGTTTTCGGTAAGTTTTCATGATTGTGTGTTGTTTGTTACTTTTTGGCGTCCATCCGAACCAATGCACTCACACTCGTGCCAAATATTGTGAATGGAATAGCGAAAAAAAATTGTTCAACGTTGATTTATTATGGCCACATACAGACAAGTGCCTAGAGAATTATAACCAATACAAACCACGAACTAGTACATATGCAACGCACTATTTTGTTGTGTGCGCTGGTATTGTTGTATGAATGTATGCTGTGCTACTGCTGCTGGTGCTGCTATTACTGTGGATGTTGAACTTATGGACGTGTGCGTGTGTTTATGATCAAATCGGACCGTCTATTCCATCTCTAGTCTCATTATGTTGGTTTGCATGTGTGTTGTTTGGACGTTTGGCTTGTAAATAACTTGAAGTTTCTCAAGCAATAGGTATAAAAGAAAAACAAAGTGTTGAAGTATATATATATATAGCTCAGCCGTCAACTCACACATACACAAAAGCGGAATGAGTTCGGACGAAGATTCTCAATCAGATTCATATTCATTGCAATTCAACGAGTACTGTGTCGATTATTCAAAATACTTATAGTATATCTGTTATATGTTGTCGTTGTTTGTGGGCCTCCGACCGCACTTCATTGTAATTAAGCTACAAAATTGTTTGTACTTACAAATACAGGTTTTTTGTTATTGTTTTTGTTGCTGTTATTTGGTCGGTGCTGGTGGTAGTGATGGTGTTGGTGGTGGTGGTGTGCGGATTGGCTCGATTTCTCTCCTTACTTCTGTGGATATTTCTTGATTTTAGCTCTCTGGATTGTATGTGTTGTGTTCCGTTCTCTCTGTCTATCTGTCTGTTTGTACGTGTGAAAATTATACAAATTATAGTATGGGAGTAGATACGACATCATTTTTTTTTATTTTCAAAACATCGTACCGACCCGTACCATGCGCGCGCGATGCACTGCCACTGAGCTAATGATATGTGTAGAAAATCAGACTTTGTCACTTCTCAATTTTCATACGATTGTCTGAATTTTATATTGCGAAGACGCCCGTCAGAGGAAAAATAATAAAATAACGCGTGTGCGCTCATTCACTCAAATCTCAATGGGTGAGATTTCATTAAAAGAATTTCATTTTATTTCATGGCGTATAATAAAATAATCAAATTGAAAACCATAAGTGCGCAACACATCCAAAAAAAAAAAATGCAAACACACATACAAAACGAGGAATGAAAAAAAAAAACAAAAAAAAAACACTTGTTTGCTGGCACGATCGACACATAAACACAATGACTGCACCTTATCTTCTTTTTTGTTCATTGAATTATGCGCATTATTGCAATTGAAATTATCGAAAGATCAATTTGGGTGATGAGACGGCTCTGATAAATTAGAGTCGTTCATGAGGTTATTGCAACTGGCCCGATTAAATAATGTCTTCATTGGTGATTTCAAAGTACACTCAATATTTTTTGATTTTTTTTCTTTTTTTTTGAGACAAAAACACCATTTACATTCTCGCCGAACCGGTTGATCATCATTTTGAAATGTTTCTTTCTCTATCAAAATCGAATGTTTGAAATGATTATGTTTGCGAACGTTGTCTTTGTCGCACACCGAAAAAATTCAAAATAAAATGCAAAGATAAATACAATTTATAGACATTGATCATTTGAAAATCAATGACCTCAACTGATATGATGCTGTGTTTGCATTTTAAACGAAATCAGAGAAAAATGAGAGAAACAGAGAGAGAAATAAATTGAAGATGCATATGCACTAACGCCAAATCGGTGTGTGCGATTAAATGGTATTTATGTTGAAATCGATGAAGTCGCCAATAAAGTGAATTTTCCAGGAAATTCATCGTTGCCTTTATTGAGTTGATTCAGCCAGATCTGTCTATTTGTGTCAAATATTTATATGGTCTTGTATGCAATACAATTTGTAACATGTTGAAAAGAAAGACGGTCCAATTTACTCTACAACGCTGACTATTATGAGATTGTGCATATGAGTGTCTCTTTTTTTTTCATATACGTATTCATGCATAGACCCGTTGATTGAATTTCCTGCTTCTTGATTATTGGCTTATCTCATGAATTAGAGTATATTTGGTTGTAACTGGAATGGGTTATTCCAATTCAAAAATTCTCATCATGATTGAATTTTTACACACACACGTCGAAGCAATGCGAATAGAAAAAAAAAATAAAATTTCGGTCACATGCCAGTTTTCTTTTTCGTTCGCCGCTCGAATAAATTATTTTGAAAGTTGATGTTGATATTATTGCCGGTAATTATAATCTCTTGTGACTCAAAAATTCGTCATGCTCATCACAATGGATCGTGTATACTAGATTGATAATTACATAATCATCTTAACGCGTTTCACAGGGAGTTCATTTACGCTCATTTACATTTCCTTTGGTTGGATGATGCTCAACAACGAAACAAAACTGAACAAGTTCATTTGCGTACTTTTGTTAATTGTTTGCAATAATGATTGAAAAGAGAATCAATACGCACACACACACACACACACACACACACACACAAACACAGATCTCGCAGACCGTTGGTCAATCTATTGAATCAAATCCGCATTTCTCTCGTTCTCTCCCTCTCTATCTCTTTTTTTGGTTGATTTTTTTTTTCTATCGATCTCATAATTTCGTAATAGCTGCTGCTCCCGTTGAGTTGGAGAAAAAGTGAATCTCACATCTGGTCTACGCGGTATTATATTATGCATGCAAAGAAAGTGAAATTTATGGACCCCATTGTACGCTGAACAACACAAAAAAAAAACACTCACACACCACATATACATAGACAATAATCGGTGATATGCGTGCCTATGTTGCGTATAATAAAATAATAAATCGAAACAAGAAATTACTTTATCGATCGTTCGTTTCTTTCATTTGATTTGCCGATTAAGCACCGCGCTCCATAACACATCTTCATCATTTATGCATAGAATGATTGAAACCATTTGCGAATTGTTGACCACTTTTTTGGCTCATTTAACTCAAACTATCTGCTATCGAAAAATAAAAAAAAAATTTATTGCAAAAAAAAATTTTACGTTCAAGAACTTGAGGTCGAATGGTACTTTTTTTGATCGCTTACTGGATATTATGGAATCGAAGTGTGAACAAAAACATATTGTTTTGAGAAGGTTTGTTTGTTTTTTTTTTTTGCCATTTCCACATTTTGGATCATTTTTTTGTGGGGCGTACATTTTGACGTCATAGACGCGTGATAACATTAATCAGAGCGTTTCACTCGAATTGAATTTGAACAAAATACCATCATTTAATTTAATGCGAAATATATAACCGTTTGCGTACGCATCGGAATTATTCATGAAAAATTGTGATTTCAACATAACTGTAATCGTCCGAAGATAATTTGAATACGTAGAAAACTAAATATCGTTCCTTTGTCTTTCCGTTATTGTTTTGCCATGTCCGTTTTGCCCTTGCTCGATCCACATTCTCATTCAGGGCATTGAATCGATTTGGTTAACATTAATAATATACTTTACAAGAAACAAAACAGAACTTGATAATATATGCAATGACGCCAATATCCAAATCAAAGAACTATCACTATTGCATCTCAGACTGCGTGCAGCACGTTTTGTTCATTTTGCGCGAGATTAACTCCTTCCGATTGTTTTTTATTATCGCCATTTCGTCCGAATATTTCGCTTATATCGAAATTTACGAGTCATTTTTAGATATATTTGGGAAAAACCAAAATAATCGGTGGGTTTTTGGCCTTTTTGGACTTTGTCCAAAACAAATGATAAAAAATATATATTATTATTTTTGTAATAAGGTATTTTTGCTTGCCGAATGAGTGATAAATATTGCAAACGGAAAATAAAAGAGTGCATGACCCAATTCTTTACCGTCTAACAATAAGACTCGTTACTATTTTTACTACTCCTAAATAGGCAATGAAAAAGCACACACACAAAAAACATTGCTCCGTTCAATGACCAATTCGATCGAGGGATGTTTTTGTTTATTTGTTTGTTTTTCAGTTTGAAAGATTATTTTAATCAATAGATTTAGTGAAACAAATAATTTAATGTTCATTACATAAACTGGACATAGACGCAAGCGTAAATTATGGATTTAATTTGGATTCTCTGCTTTTTTCACTAAATATTGCCTTCCGTTAGAGTTTCATTCGATTTAATCAGTATGCCAGCGCCATCCAACAGAAATTTTTATCAACAAAGAAATTCTTATTGAATCAAAAAGTACTTAATTCATTGGCATTCGATGCTCGAGTAACTGTGCCTTTTATAGAATGTATACGAAAAAATTGTGAATTTTTTTTTGAGATTTTTTTTCAAATAATTCAAGCTCTTTATTTGGTGTAAATAAACGATTAAATGTTGATTTATTACTTAAACTAAAGTATCGCAGTAGCAGTCTGTTGTGAGTGTGTTAGTGTGTGTATGTTACGTGTGTGTTTGTCTATACATCTGCAAATATGACAGATGAATTCTGTCAAAATTCATTTCATCGACCTGAACCATCGTATTTTTGTTGGTCGATGTAAAAAACTTCACCGTAGCTTTGGAAAAACGTCGAAAAATAGTAACTGGAAAAGTTTTTGGTTTAACATAAAACGTGACGGTTTTTTGGTGTACATTTAGAAAATATGGTTATAACATTAGACCATGAATTACCAACTGAAGCTGAGCTCACCATGCCCGAATTGAAATTATCGGGACCAGCACTTCGTGCTGGTGCATTTCATTTGGGCAAATACTGTCAAGATACATTCAATGTAAGCACATTTTTCGGTTTTCAAACATTTTCGGGGTTTTATATTCGAAACTCATTCGTCTGGTGTACAATTATTGTATGAAAATTTATTGGGTTAAAAATCGAGTGAAAATCAAGTGATTTGATTTGAAGAAATTTTTCATTGAATTTTGACAAGCAAACATTATGTAATGCTTCGTCAATTACGTATGTGTTTGAAACTTTCAAACACACAAACTATAACCTATATTTTTGATTATAAATGATAGCAAAAATAAAAACAATGAATACCGTTTTATCTTCTCGATTGAATGGAATTTAATCGAGTTGAGCGCAATAAAATTGATTTCATTGCAATTTTTTTTTAAACGAAAAATTATTTGTTCGTCTTTTTTAGGAGTTCATGCTGTGCCGCAGTGAAGAAAATGATCCGCGAAAATGCTTGAAAGAAGGACGAGACGTAACAAACTGTTCATTTGAATTCTTTCGTTTAATTAAGAAATCATGTTATGACGAATTTACGCAATATGCTCATTGTTTGGATAGAAGTAGTGCCGACTTGAATTATAAACATTGTCGCAACACTCAAAACGTATTTGATAAATGCGTATTAGATAACTTCAACATAGAGCGTCCGGGCTACGGTTACTTTTGCCGAGCTCAAATTGTTGATACGAAACGACCAAAGCCAGAGGTACCAGAGAAACCACACTACGGTGATGTGCCAGCAGCTCTGCCAGATGACGCACCCAGACCACCAGCCAAGTACGGTGCCAGAACATTTGTATGAAGTGCTGCTATTTGCACACAGCCATTTCAATAGAAAACGCAAACATTTTATAATAGTAATAAAAACTAATAAAGGAAAAATCGTAAATTGAATTTATAGATTATGAATTTTTATCGCGTGCCAATGTCACACAAAACAAAAACATTTCAGGTACCATCATTTAATCGTAATAAATATTAAAAACATAAAACGAAAAGTGCTAGATTTTGACGCAATTTTGTTTGGCAGTTAATTTCGCTTTGCGCCTGTTTCAGCCGAACAATGTGAGTTTGATAAATGTGCCTAATAGGAAAAATTAGCATGGGATTATTTCATGTTTTCATTTAACCACGGAAAATATTTACATATCGAATCGACTGCTTCGTACCATCAAGTGAATTGTGGTGGTGCATCATATTGTATCCATGAATTCGAATGCATGCCATAACGATATATAACTTCTATTTGATTTAATGTTCGATAAATGCGATCTTTAAATGCAAACGTTCGTTTAATATTATCAATAAAAGTCAAAGTTATTCAAGAAGAATTCTACGTTGAATCTATATATAAACAAAGAACGCGAAAATGCAGTTCAAATACTTTTTCGTAAAAAAATGAACAATATTATTTTTCGCAATCTTCGTCGATCTCATTTACATTTGAACATGAAACAAGTGTTATTGCACGATCTAAATCCAATATTCTGGGCATACAGGTAGATTTAATTCACATATCATGACGGTTGAGACTGCATAACTTACTTAACCAATATTTTTTAATATAATTTTGTTACCTATTCGGATCTGTTTTCGATGGTTTTACGGCGAGTATGAGGCGAGTGTGACTTGGCAACGGATAAACAATAAATTTGAAAAAGCGTTACTTTTCTATAGGTGACGGGGAAGGGGGGTGTTCTAAAGGTGAACAAGTCACATTCGTCTATCTTGCAATCGTTTTATTGCCGGAGGTGAGGAGCCTAAATCAAAAAATTCCTAATCCGGAACATTAATATGCAGACGTATAGAATAACAATATGTAATTTTTCACTTTCGTCGATTTGTGGTTTGTGTTTTTTTTATTTCTTTTGTTAGTTCCCTTTGCATTTTTTCCCACTTTGATGTTTTTGTGATAAAAGTTTTTTTCCCATTGCGCTATGAAAACAACTAAGAAAATAGCTTCGTGCAAACAATCATTTTCTTGTCTTATTCCAATGTGAAGTTTTCTGTACTAAATACAGTCAGTATATTAGAAGTATGAGTAAACAACAACAAAAAAAGAAGTAATAATGAAAATAAAACAATAGTTTGCTATCAACAACCAAAGAATAGGCAAAAATTTGACAACGAAAAACAATATCTATATATGAAAGTAAATGTCAAGAATATATCGCTGAATAAAAAAAAGTTAGTTGTTGTTCATATTATGCGCTCTTGCAGCTTATCGATGTTTGCAAAGATGTTAGAATCAAATGTGATTTCGAACAGTAACTGCACACAATATGGTAAGTATACCACCCATAAATCTATTTCTTTTTTCCACAAAACAAAATCAGCATGCAATTTTTTTCTGCACACAAAACTATTTTTATACGGAACAAAATGTGTGCCTCTTTTATCAAACTTTTTGACATATATTCATTCGAAAAAACCATTTAATTTCAAATGCACCAAACCAAAAAATTTTTTCGTCGCGATTTGTGTGTGTATTTGTTAATTTATTTATTCTAAAAACAAAAACTGAACATAAAAAAATTATATAAATATGTAACCAGGCGTCTCAGTCGAATATGCGACAATCGAATTCTCGCAAAAGCTTGCAAGCGGCCAGTTTGAAAAGTCGTGGTGCAATGATAATGAAAAGCGTATCGATTTTGATAGTTAATAGCCGGCGAATCTGTAACCAACGCAGCAAAGAAACAACCACGAAAAATGGCAAAAGTGGTAAAAATCGAAATCGACCAAACAAAATGGACGACTCGATTGGCAAACCAACGCCAAAAATATTGGAAACGTTAAAACGAAAAACGCACTTTTCCAAGTAGGTTTTTTTTATTCGCTTTTTCATTCTCACATTTATATTTTAGACAATTTTCACGTGCAAGTAATATTTGTCTTTTGGTTAATTTGTTGAATATTTCTCTTTTTTTGTTGTTGAAAAATGCAGAAAAGAACTAACGATTCTGTGTAAAATCTATCGAAAATTGGTTCTCAACTGTTACAATCCGAATAACAAAGGAAAAACTGGCATTAATAATGTCATATCAAGGCCACATGGTGGTGCAGAGGTAGGTGTTTGATTCCGAATTACGGTTCCAGTTTTATTGAAATGACAAAACTAATACAATTATTACCACTTTGAAGGGAATTGATCGAAATGTATTCCGTGAATTGTTGCATAGTACATTTGATATATCGGCCGAAGAGACGTTAATGGAACGGATATTCACGTCTTGGGAAAAAGGTAGCGAGGGTTTACCACTGCGATTGGAAAGTTGGATATGTGGTATATCGGTCTTTTTGCGCGGAACTTTATTTGAAAAAGCAACATTCTGTTTTCGTGTTTATGATTTAAACACCGACGGGTTTATCACCAAAGACGAAATGTTTTCATTGATGAAAAATTGCCTTATCAAACAGCCACAAGACGAAGATCCCGACGAAAGTGTGAAAGATCTTATGGAAATCGCATTGCGAAAATTCGATGTTGATAAAGATGGAAAAGTGAGGTTTTTTTTCGGTATTTTTTACAATATTTTTTTTTTTAATTTTTATTGTGATTCAGATTTCGTTTCAGGACTATTTGACAACAGTATCTGGTGAACCATTACTCTTAGAAGCATTCGGTCAATGTTTGCCATCCGAAACGGCAACAATTTCATTTTTGACCGCATTCCAAAATTAACACATTAATTTCTTTGTAGTGGATTATCACTGTTTTTCTTTGCCTTTCTTCTTTTCTTTCTTTTCTTTATGTTTTGCAATCCGTGTTGGCGGCACTTTGGTCGATGAACGTAATTCAGTCTCTCCCATGTATGGCTGTAATACCTCTGGAACACGTATTGACCGCGATGTCTGTTTTAAAACCGAAAAAATTCGTTAAAATTAAGAATATCAAATAAATAATAAAATGACAAAAAAAAACGAACTGTGAACCATTCAATTTTACCTGATACTGTTCGAGTATTGCGATTATCATTCGTGGTATTGCACATGCTGTACCGTTTACGGTGTGTGCATGGAATTTTTTTCCACCATCCTCAAAGTAAATATTCAATCGTTTCGATTGGTAATCAGTGCAATTACTGGTACTTGAAATCTCGCCAAAACTTTTGCGTGATGGCATCCAAGCTTCAATATCATATTTTCGATAGGCTGGTAAGCCTAAATCGTATACTGGCATATCGTATAGTTTAAAACACAATCCAAGACCTTCGAATAGACGTCGTTGAATATCTCGAAATTCTTCCAAAAGACCATCTGACTGTGTTGGCAAACAAGCTGAGAACATCTCTACTTTGGTGAAACAGTGAACACGATATAGACTTCCGTCTACACTTGCTGCACTTGCTTCGGCCCGGAAACATCGGCTTGTGGCCATCACCTTTTTCGGTGCATCTTCTGCTTTCATTGTCTTACCTTAGGGAAGAATCACAAAAGAAAAGAATGAATAATCAAAAAATAATTAGTGAAGAAATTTTTAAGTGATTTGCCTCTTGGTCTTACCACTGAAAAAACCGGCGAGTGCCATTTCTGACGTGCCCGACAAACATAGATCCGATGGTTTCAAACGATACACCTAATAAGCAAAGAAATCAATGAAAATATTCGAAAATGTTTGCAATTTAAATTTATATTCACTTGAGTTGCATGGTCATCGACAGTCATTCCACAGGCTTCAATAAGTTCAGCTGGTAAAATGTCCGGTACAGTGATTAACTGAAAGCCTTCTTTATATAAATTATCCATCGTGTAATCAACCAATGCTCGTGCCAATTTGGCTACACTATCCATAAAGTAGTATGATCCCGGACCGGTAAAATTGCCTAAATTACTCGTTCGAATGGTTGTCGACATTTTGCCCAATTCTTCGTAGCTTTTGAAATCTGGCATTGGATTATTGTGTAAATCGCCAAACGAATACAATTCCACCTTATCCGAATCGGCTCCATAGCTCAATACAGTTGGATGTGTTTTATTTGGAAATTTCTTTAATTCAGTTATTAACTTCGATCGCAAATCTTTTCGTTTTTCACTTTCACTTTCGTTCATAAAATTTTTGTAATGATGCCGCAATAGTTGTACGCTACCGTGACTCTTGCGGATTTTTGTACTCTCTTCAATTTCATTTATTGTCTCTTCATCGGGTGTGTAATTTTCAAAGAATTCACTATTTAAACTAAATTGTTTCGGTTTGAAATTACTGAGTTGTCGCGTTGCGAATAACTTTCGGCCTTGCTTTCGAAATAAATCAATAAACTGTCTTGAATTTAACATTATTCTATGATTTTTAAAATGATTCGTTCTAGATTTTTAACCATTTGTTCATTTGAATCTTAACCAATAATACATTACGTACTATGTACCGACAAAATTGACATTCCTTGCGTGCTGTTGACACATTGTACTCAATATATTCATTCAAAAATGGTGTCTTGATTCTGTACTCAAGCATGAGTACTGATTTTAATTTATTAAGCTGCTAAAAATTTATTCGAAATGCTATCAAATTTGCTTGGCAAAAAAAAATGAACTGTGAAAAGACCGTAATGCTTTTCAATTTTTAGTTAAAAAAATGTTGAATTTTCCAGAGTGATTGCTCGTCAAGTACAGGCACCGTACTTAACGTAAACTTATTTATTTGAATAGCCGCTTGAATTGATTTGTTTACTTTTCTAATGTCAGCCCTACGTACGCAATAACACATGAAATTTTCTTTCTTCGACTATTTTATTGTTTACTTGGTCGATGGATATATGTTAGTTCATTCACGATGGCCAATGAAACGATTATAAAAAATCTGGAAAATCAATTGGAACGTTTGGTTCAACAGTCAGCCGATTTGGAGGATTGCAAGTAAGAATAAATAAAATATCATCCGGTGAAAATCATGACACACTTCAATTTCAAAATGATTCATTAGAAATGATCTGACCGAAGAGGAGTATGGCAGCATGAAAGAGGAGACTTTGGAACAAATCAAAGAATTCACTGCCACTTTAGATCGGCTGAATAAAGGCGATATCACATTAAACAGTAAAATATCATCGATGCGTGAAGTAAGTGTTGTTTTTACAGGGAAACGGGAAACGGTGAAAGACTATCTCACATTTATAATTTGTTTCTTTCTTTTTTTGTCTAATAGGTGATACGAAAAGCGATTGCAAATTCATTCAATACACTTGAAATGATACGATTGGCCGGTGACCAAAGTTTAAACGAACAAGCAAATCAGTTGGGTAGTCTCGAGGAGAGTTATCAGCTCAAAAAAATTTCGACCACTGAATATGAATTGAAAAAGGTGATTATAATAATTACTGAATGAGTTTTAACATAATTTGTGAAATGTAAATGATTTTCTTTTATTGAATAGCGTGAAATATTGCTGCAGCTAGTCGATTTTGGTTATTGTCTATCACCAGCCGACAAGAAGTTCCTTGAAAAGAAGACTGACACCGAAATACTCGAAACCATGCGATGTATTGACGATGAAAATTGATAAAGTAATTAGTTTTGACAATTAAACTGAAGTTTATCACATAAAATAGATTTAATCATTTTTTTTCTATGAATACTCTATACACGCTTACTATTTGAAACAATATAAATGTGCTTTTGAAATAAAAAAAAATCGAATAAAAAAATATGCTTGTGGCAAAATTTTGGCAAAATTTATTAACAGTCATAAGTTAATTGCTGGCCAATAATTGGTTTTGTTCTTCTTTAAATTATTACAATGGGGTTTCTTTTTCCAAAGAACACGAAGATACGAAGAAAATGCGACATTACATTTTATGCTATTTACGTAGATATCGGTACTCAAGAGCATCGTTGCAGCCTTGTGCGTTGAATATGATCGAGTTCTGTTAGACGATTTAGGTATTTCCGTTGGGTTTTAGACGTTTTGTCATCTTTTTGACGTCTCTGTCAGCTCATTAGACGTTTTTGCGACGAGTCCAAAAATTGTTGCGCATTGTTGATAATATCGAAGATTATTTTAGTCAATTGAATGAACATTAAAACATTGATAAGAATGGATAAAATCGTTTGCATTTGTTTTGTTGCCATTGCAATTGTTTCAAGTACAAGTGCAAAAATTACAAGTGAAAATATTAATTGTACATATATTCCCATGACCCGTTTTCGTATTTGTGGTTCCGATGGTAAAACTTACAATAATAAGTTCCGTTTGTGGTGCGAACAAAAGACAGAGTATGGGAGAAGTGTAAACTTACAAATAAAACATCCATTTCCTTGTTGGATATGGGAAGAATACGGCATCGACACCTCTACACTTTTATTTGTGAGTTAATTTCGAATTGATTCCATTTCGATAGATTTAATATGTTCTACTATTTTATTAATTTTTCAGACTCTACTGGGTTTTGTTATTCTTGGTGTGTGCTTGTGCATTTGTAGAAAGAAGCGAAGCATTTGGAAAAAAGAAAAACCATTTTTGATAACTGAGCCTGCATAATAATCGGATGAAAATGTATTGATTCACAAATTAAATCTCAATAAACAAAAATTTTGATTTCGATATTACCATTGATATCCATATTTATCATTGTATATTATATCATTGAATAAAAATCTCAATAAAACTGGAAAACTACAAAACAATTTATCTTAATCGACGTTATAGCTTATATCACGTTGTTATTTGAAATTCTTGTTTTGCGCCGAATTTAGATGGAAAGAGTTGCATATGAACAACAAAATGTTAGAGTAAATAACAGAGTAGGATAAACAATAGATTTTAGCTGTCTCTATATTTTTTAAATTATATTTTCGATTGATTCTGATGTGTGATTCATTAGTTAACTTTTGCGATAAGAAAATATTTGAAACATATACAATTCAATCAATTGGAATTTTTTATGCCATAAGAAACTGCAATCGTCAAAAGTTGACGAGTGCTGTATAAATATTTATTATATAAAGAAAGCCGAATATTTATATTTTGTTGATTTCACTTTCAATTTTCATGATTTTGCAAAGGTTTCGGTTAGATATTTTTGATTGTTTCATTACACATGCACATAAAAAAGACCCACCTCGTCTGATTTACATTTAATCGATCACTGCTGGAAATTCGCACTACATCGAAGTCAAAATCATATTTTCAAAAAAAAGAAAGAAAGTGAATAAAACATCCGTAAAAAATGGACGTGATATTTTATCAAGCATACTATCAATGCAGTTGCTGCAAATCATACGTGAATGTCGATCGAAGGACTGCAAATGCCCACAATGCCAAAAAATGAACTCACCAATGACTGAAGATCACATAACTTCTATTCAATTTTATTCTATTTGTAACAGATGGAAGCTCAGCCACAACGTGGAAATCGACAAGGCTCAAAAAAGTGTGGAGCCTGTATTTTTCAGAAATAATGTCATGGTGATTACGAATGTTGCCAATGTTTTGTCAAAACTACTTCATAGTCTTACTTTGAAAATATTGATTTAAATAGATAATTTTCATTAAAATGACGCAATTCAAATCACTGATCAGTAAATTGACAAAACTCTGCGACATTAAGTGGTTGAAGAAGGAATTTATACATTTTCAATAAAAATAACGAGAAAAGTTGTTGTAAATGGTTTGTATTACATTCCACAATGTGTGCATATTCAAGAAAATTGAACAAAAATGGTTATTAATTTTTTTTCTCTTTTCAAAAGTTTGAAAAATAAAACATATGTTAAACTGATGCATAAATGTTAATCTTTTTTTAAGTCTGAAAATTGTAAAATGTAATAATTGAATAAAAAACAAATATTCTTTTGTGTTTTTGGCAAAATTTATTAAAAGTCATAAGTTAATTGTTGACCAATATTTGGTTTTGTTCTTCTTTAAATTGTTACCGTGGTTCCTTACGGGGAAAATTATCTACTTGACGAATGCGAGTCACATTTTATGCTATTTGATTTAAGTAGACCTGCATTATATTTGTATAAATTTCACTGAAGTAATTAACGGATGGATTAAGTGTTTTCTCTTTGTTCTCATACTGTTTTATAAATCTAATTTGTTTTCTTCGCTGTAAAATGCTCGTGTTCATCATCTGAATCTGGATTAACAAGTTCTACGGCACATTTGCGTGGAAACCAGCCACGAATACGAACATTCTTAATTGTTTCTAATTTTTCCTTTTCATTCAAACCATTTGTATCTTTTTTCTGTTTGGCACCTTGCACTTTCTCTCCAAATAGCCAATGTCTGGAAACAAGAGATAAAAAAAGGTAAGGTATAAAGAATACAACAAAATAAAAATTAAAAAATAAATAAATCGTACGCTTTCCATCGTGTGACTTTGACAATGTCACCAATCTCTAGCTTGATTCGCGGTTCATCTGTACAGGGTATAAACATGGAAACCTTACAACCTTGCGAAAATATCGGAACCCATGAGCCCGTTGCAGCCCTTTGTATTGAATACGTTCGCGTTCGAGCTCGTTTCTCTTCTTTTTGTGCCAATTGCTCGATCTGAAAGATGCACATTTAATTATTTAAGATGAGAGAAATAAAGAAAGATGTTGTCTTACCGTAAGTGTATATTGATTACAACCGCTGCGAACTTTCCAATGAATGCCATCACCAATCGGAGCACAACTAGGATCGGCAACTTGTTTTATGTTCTCCCAAGTGCCCAAATCATAGGGAAACTCGAATTTTTGGCCAGAACCTTCATATCGATAGTTGGCCTTTTCCAATATCCAATCTTCAATTCCCGTTCGATTGCGCATAATTGCACGAACCTAATTGATATACATGTTTAGCTTTTGTATAACGGCCATTCGTTTAATTTGTAATGTAATTAAATTGCATACTTGGAAAAATAATAACATTCCGACTGCAATTACAACGCCGACGGATAGGCCCAAACTAAAGATACACAAACTAAGGCTAGCCATTCCAAATTGTACAGTAGCCAAATGGAGTTGATTCGTATAAATGTACCTATATTTTGAATAATATGAAATTGTGTATGGCAAATTGTGGTGTTTGAAGAATTTGCATAGCAAATAATAAAATAATAGCCGCATTTAAACAGCTATAATAATAGAAATCAGTGTAATTGTATTTACCATGAATAGTGGATCCCACGGTAAATAGAAGCACTTAAAATGATGGTTGATTGAATGCAACCAAGTACCGAAAACGCCAGAAATGACGTAAAATATGCATGATTGTTCCAACCGACACACTATAAACAAGTACGAATTATTTAAAAGAGGTCAATAAATAGGATAATATATATTTTTGAATTTTTTTTTTTCGTTTTTATTTTGCCATACCGTGTTCAGCCATGGGCAGTGGTGGTCCATCTTCCTACGGGAGGGAATGTTACGTTCATTAGCAAAATATATTTGAAAGCATAGTATAGTAAAGGTGATTCTATGCAATTATACATACATTACACATCGTTCACACTTTCGGCAATGATGAGATCTGGGTGCTTTATATCCTTTGCAAATATCGCAAAATTGCAACATTTTTTTGGCTCTTTTGTCCTATATAAAAAGAGAAAATCAAATCATCGCTTTAGTTTTTTAATTATTTCAAGCAATATGTAGATGGTAAAGCAACCGGAACACCCGTCCATAATTAGATTTGTCGGTGTAGCATATTTGCACTCACTGATATGAACAGTGTGAAAATGTGGATATTTATACACACACACAGTGTAGCACTCACTTTGGGCTCCCATTTAAGAGGTAAAAATCCAGGTCCACATATCGTTCCCATAACGTAATTGAAGGCGGAAAGCGCGGACAGAACCAGGAAAACCATTTGATGAATCATCCCGCCCACAGACCGATTCGGTGGCCACCACATCGAGTTTATGTACAATGTTGTAAGGGTAACACATTTTATAATGCCTGTAAAACAGAAAAAAAATGAGAAATATATACAAGTCAATAAAGAGAATTTTTCTTTTGCGCGCAATAAAATAAATAGTAAAATAACAAGAAACTACAGTAACGATCGAATGACATGGTGGAAAGTGAGAAAAAACAGGAGGTGAGATTAAGCAAACAAATTAGCATAAATAAATGAGCACGTGTGAACAATTTAGCCCGAACACAAGTGAGGCGAATTAAAGTTGAAAAACTCCTTCCTTCAAAATAATTGAAGTTGTTGTTATTTTTGTTTTTTGTTTTTTCACGAAATAACAAAACACACACACACACACACACAATTTAGTAACAAACAAACAGACGAAGAAAACTGGAAATGGGTATTTTCCTTTCCTTTTTTTGTGTTTTCATTTGGATATATTATGTAGTTGGGACAAAACACAGGAAAACACTTTCGTGCACGTTGACCGCAAGAGTTTGAACGGTGTGCGTCCGACAAAATGTGAATGCATAAATATATAAATGTATTGTTTCTATCTTGACCAAAAAAAAACACCATTGGAATTGGTAATAAACATGCGATTCACGTGAGATTTCATATAATGCAGCAAAAGCGCAACGAACTCAGTCAGCATTTTTCTTTCACTGAGCAAATGAGTGCTAGTCAGTTTAATTTATTCCTCCGCCCTCTATCTACCAAATCAATCCGTGCATATATTTAATAAGAGAGAAACCACCCTCTGCTCATATCGTATGTGTGTCGGCCGTAATGGAAAAATAAAACTTTAACATTTTAATTAAGTTATTTCATTGAGTTATTTACAAAAAAAAAACGAACACACACATACAATTTATTTGCTTTTTTTTTACAAAACAGTTAGAATGGAAATTAAATGTTGATTAAACGATCGCACGATTAGCACATCTCAGTGTTTACACCTGATTTATATAAAATTGTAATTTAACTGTGTGAAATTAATTTAAAATGGAAATAAATATGGTCACTGGCGTACGATGCTATGAGAATGCACATCTTGCATCATTTACCATTTGTGATAAGCATCTGTGGCTTATTATCACACCGAACGATTATTCGTTCAAATGTCAAGCGAGAATTATTATTCGAGATTTATAAAATCATTAGAATCCAGCAAATCCAGCGCTGAAAACAAAAACTAATCATTCGTGATTTTTTAGTGGTGATTTTTTTTCTGTGCCATTATGTGACCTGATAAAATCATGTTGAATCATTTTTCACATTATGTTTTCATGACCAAATTGAAATACCGTATTTGCCACAAGTTTTCCCGATTCATCCAATTATGTCGATTGTTAAGGCAACAATTTAACGAAAATTTCTCGGGTTTGGCTTACATATTTAAATTATTCTTGTTGTGTTGCTTGCGATAATGAATGCAATGCGTCAAAACATTCCTTCTATTTTGATTTTTGTGGTGATTTTGTTTTTGTTTTTCTATCCCATTTCAAATGTTTTTGTTTTGATCATTCTTTTCCACTCTTGGCCCCCACCCTCTCCCTCTTTCCTTCTCTCAGAAGTTCATATAAAAATAGTATTCGTGCACGCAAAAACGCAATATATATGTATTTTAAGCGGCCAAATGTAAACAAAACACTTTGGGAATATTTTACCATCGTAATTACATGGAATATGACATTTTCAATCTGTAATGACGAAGTGTCTAGCCAGACCTAAAACGGGCGGCAGCACCCGTCTGAATTGAATATATATATACAAATACGAAATCATTACTATATGAGACATGAGTTCAATATAAACATAGGCCGGAGAGTGAGAGAATTACAAATTGATTTTTTAATTTGAATCACAGGAGCTGTTGATTGAAGCATATCACTTTTCGGCAAACGTACCACTTATGTGAATTCACGAGTTTAATTTAATAGATGCCATTCGAAAAAATGACCTCATTACGATTGCATTTGGATAATTTTATGCGATTGAATTAAAGCACATTGCTTAATAGAATTTCTAATATAATTTTATAGTGTCTATAATAATCTATTTATTGATGAACATATACGGTTCATAACCGATTATAAAACAGCGGGACCATAATTCAAGCAAACATTCCCATTTTTTGAGCAATACTGCTTCCATGATGAATTCAGTCAAAACACTGAGAACAAGCGACCACCTCAATTGGAAATATCAACGACACATACAATGTACAAGCATATAATAATGCTCGACATACCGCTGCTGGACGAAATGTTCGAGCCAAGCACACAGGATGGTTGCAATTTTCATTGAATTATATACAAAAAAAGACCCAACCATAATAATTTGTTATAATTTTCAGTGGTGCATTTGCATAATTGCATTCGATGTCGTTGAAAATCGATGTCACCCGAAAGGTTATGCTAATAGCCACACCAGTTGGGCATGCTTTAAAATTTTCCTCCTTTCTTTTTTTTCACTTTAAAAAGAGATTTTATGCAATGCATAACGTATACATGGAGATGGAATCGAAATAAATGTTAGCGATGGAATGCGATTCACATTTTTTTCGGCATCAATTTTAGATGAACGTCTGTTTTTCATCCAGTATCTGTGTGAGAACACAATATGTCATCTCTGCTGATGAATTTTGAATGAAATTTATACCTAGATATAGAATAATGAAATAAAGTACAATTTTCGCATCACACCATACAAAAAATAAAGTTGAGAAGAAAAAATGTATAGACACAGATAACACCGGAATACTATAGATAAATGTATTGTTTGTCAATACATAACCTCAATCAGCCGCATATAAACAATCGCACCATATACTTTAAGATTTGATTATCATTTTAACACAGAAAAATGCAATACATTTTTGAATAAATTGAATAATTTCGTTATTAAGGAAATAAATAAACATATTATATTATAAAATATTGCGATACCTATTGCGATTGCTGGGCCAAAATGTAAAAACCGCTTAAGCGATTTTTTCAATGAACTATTCATATTTACATAATTTATCTCGATTTTATCTCTCAATTGCTTGCTAAAAATACAAGACGCGTACACCGTGGTGTCAATTCAAACTAAACACACAATAATCTTTTCAAAAAAAAAATCGTAGACAAAATATGCACTTTACAGAGAACAAAAAAATTATTTTTTGTTTTTAAAAAGTCTTTCTGTCTATCTTCCGAATGATGTGAAATTTAAAATGTTCGATGTATGCACCAATATAACTATAAAAAAACAGTCACGTATAAACGATGTGTTGTTGTGAGTTGCTTTGTGCACACTAACTTCAAAGTACGGTTGTTTATTTTGGTTCGATAGACATAATGTTAAGTGTCAAGAGCAGAGAGCGCGTCTACAAAGGGGAAAAAATGTTGACAACAAAGTTGACATATCAGAACAGCGTAGCTCTCGGTTGCCAGCGACATGCGACGACAATGGCATGGGCAAAATGTGAAAGAAAGCAAAGCAGTGAAATGAAAAAATAAAATAAAATAAAAATATAATAAAACCGAAAGCAGAAAGGAAGGAGCAGGCGCACACGAATAATAATATGAAGAAAATATAAGGATCTCTCTATATGATTTACAATATTCTTTTTCCCTCTTTTTTTTCTCTCTCTCTCTCTCACACTCTCACAAAATGTACGAAAGATTACTTGTGAAAAAAAAAACACTAAGAATAATGACATCTTGTGGGGCTTATGCTAACTTCGTGGTGGCTTTCAAATAAAAAAAGAATATATTATACTCAACTTATAGATGAAACTTGACATTAAATGCGTTTCAATGAAATGGGATGTGTGTCATTACAATGAATACTTTAAAAAGTATGATGATACAATTTCTTCTTCAACAAGCTAAATATGTGTGAACAATAAAGACATTTTATAACAATGTATCAGTTTCATGGCTATAATTTTTTTTTCTTTCAAATATTGAATGTCAAGACGAGAAAAAAGCGCATAAGATAAAGCAATTTATCTAAAATCGGCTCAGACTTTTTGATTTGCTTCGAGTCGCCGATTTTTTTTTTCGTTTTCTATATCTCTCTCACTCTATACTTCCCCCCATTATTTTCATGTTAAAAATCGAAAACATAAATAAACGCTTGAGAATCGCAAACCCCAAAATCATCAGCTCGCATGCGGTGAACCTTTTCCATGAATGCCATGATTGGTTTTAAACTGCACAATCTGAGCACTAAATGATTTGTTACAATGTGGTTTCATTTTGAATGCATAATTTATGCTTTTAATTAGTCTGACCGTTTAATTCGCGAACGGCAAGGCACGCTTAATGCTCCCCATCTCTCTCATCGGTGTGTAAGCGTGTGTTCGCGCACGAAATTAAACAAGCTTTTTATGGCACTAACTTATACACCGGATTAATATGGATATTAATGATAAAATGAACTGAAAATGATGAGAATAGAAAAAGGAATTGCGACGACGACGAAGAAAGAAGCTTTTTTTTTCAAATATGATTCCATATCTTCTTTATCCACTGCGAGTAATAAGCGACCGTTGCTCCTCCGTTCGCGATACAAAAAGTAAATGGAAACTGAAGAAAAAAATGTTTGCACATGCTGTGTGCCTCGTAAGCTATGTTATAGTACACACACGTTGTATATGGTGTATTCGAATATGGAGCAGCTGCAGAGAGCTAGAACCAATACTAGCGTACTCATCCATTTCAGAAATTTTCCCCGACAATCCGATTAATCGGTGTGTTTTTTATTCGGTGCGCTATTATTTAGTGTCATAGAAGATATAGTTGTGTGTTGTTTCCCATTCGAAATTCAGTTTCACTTGAGCCGTTGTGTGGATTGAACCGAACCGTGAGAAATTATTGTACATCGCAACATCCAACCAAAAGAAAAATATTACTCAGAAAGTATTGGTGAACCAGCAAGGCAGCGAAAGGAGCACAATTTTTTCAAATAAATTCGAAATAAACGAAACCGAAGAAGAAAAGAATCAAGTACGATACGAACGAAATTCAATTTTTAAGTGGTTCCTTCAGAATTCTGTTCACTGATTTGTTTTTTTATTTTTATTTCTCGTTTTTCTTTTTCTTTATTTTCGTTTTTGTGTGTTTGTTTGAGTGTATGTAGTGGTGATGATGATGATGATGATGGTGGAGGAATTGTTTATTTTGTTAATTCCGAATTAAAATTTCCTGACATTGTTTTCAAGGTGCTTGTGTGGACGAATGAAATAAAAAAAAAACATATATACACACTCATACAGCAAGGAGAGTGAATAACATATTTCTTTGCAAGACAAATAAAACCACCAAGTAATATATTTGTCGTTCAACATTTTTGGCGGCAGTGTTGTTTTTTTTTTATTCAAAAAAAAAAGAGATAACTTGACGTTGAGAATTGATAAAATCAAACACGACATATCCTGTAAGTGAAAATTAAACGACATTTTTTTGACTGATTTAGTGAGATAAAGTGAAGTTATTTAACAGTGTACATTAAAATAACGTTAACGATTAATTTTGCAATATCATAATTTTTCTGCCCATCGTAGCGATTACGTAAATTCTTTTTTGAGCTAAAAACTCGGATGAAGTAAATTCATTTTATATTCATTTATGATGTTTTCAAAACATAGAAAAATTATTAATTTCAGAATATGTGATATTTATATTTATTCCAAGCCTGTCTTATTGAAACGAAATAATCGTATTTTTATAAAGTTTTTTTTCTCTTGATTTTTGGGTTAGCGATGGTTTTCGATTGGCAGCATTCGTTCCTTTTGCTCAACTATTCCCATTCGCAAGACTATCCGATAAGAAAGCAAATGTGGAGGGGAAGGGCAGCGAAAAATAAATGCCTTTATTAAATTCTTTGTTGCTTGTTGTATGCAAATCATGGCATGATTTAAGATTTGTATTCTATGGGGTCTATTTTCTCCATCGTTTGTACACCGATTCGATTCGAATGCAAAAAGATGTAAATCATCTTTAATTAAATAATTTTAGCCAATTCAACGCCTTCTTCCATGAAGTTGGATAATATTGGATCATTACTTTCAAAAATTGAGTTGCTTTTTTATATCTACTTAGCACCAGTCATTCTACTTTTTTTTAAAAATATTCTATTGAGTTCATGAGATACACACAAAAGGAATGAAAAATGATTTCAATGAAGAATTTGAAACATATTCACTAATCAGAAATAAAGAAAGCGTGTTGATTCCAGTAAAAACTGAATCATTTGAAAATTCATGGTCAACGGTCTATTGGCGAAGAGAGATTCTATAAGAAAAAAATGATATATATTTCTGTATATACAGAACGATTCTGAACCTCTCCAGTTGACACATTTGCTTGAACACTTCAGCAGCCGCAGTAGCGCACAGAGTCTTTCCAACTGATGTAGCATCATAATTTATTTGCACATTTTTCCCTGAAGCGTTACCATAAATGCCATTATGAAAGCTTCAATGATTGTGCGATCGATATGCATACATTTAATATCTAAGATTTATTTTCATATTTTCACAGGCCACACAATCACACAATGTCTAGACATAATAGTGACATGCCATTTCAGCCATGGTTACAATATATACATAATTCAATTTCTTTTTCGACATTCTCGTCGCATCTTCATTTCAGCGGTTGAATAGAGATAACAACCACAACAAAAAAAAAAAAAAAAGAAAAACAAAAGGAAGAATCAAAGCAATCAAAAACTAATTAATTAATAAATTACTTAGCTAATATATTCTGCGGTTCATTTCCTACTAAATTGTTCGATAATCGAAATGTGTCCAAAATTCGGGCCAATTATCTACGGTACGAGCAAGAGAGGGGAGAGACAAATAAACAACGGCAACAACAACAACGATTACAACAAATCAATTATTCGAATCGTATTCGATTGAGCATTGGCTTCCGTAAATAACATTTTGTTCAATTTTAGCCAATTCAATTCCGCGTTCAATCTTTTTTAATTTTGGTTTCATTTTTTTTGGTTGTGTGTTAACTGACTTTTCCAAATCTGTGTAGGAGTGAAGACCAAATCTTTCGATATATTACACATTGTGATCAATTTTATACATTCTTATGTTGTTGGTTTTTTGGGGGGCTGTAAATGGTAGTCAGCCAATTCGAAACATTTCAAATGCTTGAAAAGATGATTTTTACATTAATTTGCTATTATTTATTAACAAAATTGAACCCTTCAAAATTCAGTTTCTCAGTCTTTCTAGCTACATGGAACTGCTCTCTTTTGATTTTTGAAATTCTCGCATGCCAATATAATGTATAAAATATTTAAATTAATGATAAAAAAAGCCATACATATTCAAAACATCATTATTAATATAGAACAATCCATAAAGTCCATTGAAAAACGAAGAAGAGGGAATATAGTGCAATGGCCTGTAACCATTTATCGATACTTATTTGTTTATGACGGGCACTTATGATTAATTTGAGTTTAAAAAAAAGCTTCCAAAAATGTGCTACGCTCATTTTATTACTGAATACGAACCAATTCAATTGCATTCAGAATATATATACATTTGGTCTTCTTCCGATATTCTTCATTTATTTATATTGTCAATGAAGCCCGAAATTCAAGCATTGAACTGAGTCACACGCGGGTTGTGTGTGTGTGTGTGTGTGTGTGTGTTTTGTAGTCAACATTTATCAGCTCAATTACCTCAATTATCAATCAGCGCTTCACTAAGCGGTTACATAAATGCCCCAAATGTGCACACAAATGGTAAAATGCGCACGACTCATGTAAAATAAGTGCATAAGTTGAAATTGAGAAACATTTATATTTAGTCTCAATTGAAAAACGGTCGTTTGTATTATATGAAGTAAGCTGTTGAAATATATATACTTAAGTTATGGATAGTTCACTATAAGCACATCTGATACCTTATATATATATAATTCAGAGGCGACTAGCCAAAAATCAATGAGCACTCAAAGAAAAATGTCAATGTCTGTTGTTCATATATAAGCCTAAATAATGTGAGAGCAATGAAAGAACAAAACAAATAAACGCAGTCAGTATGCGAGAGAGTAACTGATTAAACAACAAAATGTACAATCATAATAAAAGAAGAGTGCAACGTTCCCGGATAGACGCAATATACGCCACACACTATACGACAAAAAAACACTACAACACAGACCCGTACAATGTGTAAATTATGCAGTTGTAATACCACTCACGCCTATTTAAGTGATTCACACACGAAACAAAACAGTAACGGCACATAAATTATGGAATCCTTTGCCTGTTTTAATTTGAGAATACATTTTTGGGACACAAATTGTGTACAACTTCACATATTTCTATTTATTTTATTTTTAATTTTCCAATAAAGCATGATATTTGGAGAGAGAGAAAAACGTGTAAATTTATGAGGCACAAACGGCAACATTGCGGAACATCGAATCTTATGCGTCACAATACATGTCAAGTTTAAATGCGGATTTTCAATTCGGGCACCAAAAAAATCGAGTTCTCATCCTCCCCATTTTTCGATCAATTTCACATACATATAAAAAGAGATAATCACTTTCTTGAAATATTCAATTCGATTTAAAATTTCCGAATACAAATCACAACGTTAATCGTAATAAAATACGAAATCAATAGAGTTTTATAAGTGAAAATACGCTCTTTCTCCCGGCTATCATTATCTATTTGGGAAAAAAATCGAAAGAAGAACGTGTGTGCTTGAGTTTTTTCGTTTTAATTTTAAAAGTTGTGGCACTATTTGGACGAATTACAATTTTCCCTTGTGCTTGTTTAATCATAGACTTATGGCGCAAGAATACAAGTGCATTCACCAACAACTGAATTTTTTATTGGTTTTAGAATGAAACGCTTGTAGAGACATAGGGCGAGAGGGAAAGAGAGTGGAGTAACAGAAAGAAAGAGAAATTAAATAAAATGAATATCAAAACACATGTAGCCAGCTCAGAGTCTGACACAATGTAAATCAATTATGAACATGTTCGATGAATATGGAGAATCACATGCTGTGCTACATGAAATAATAGTACGTGGCTCAATCAATTTAAGAATGTTCATATGCGTCCAATTTCCGAACTTATAGTTCGACGAGGGAAAAGACAAATTGCAGTGTTAGTGAAGATTTGAACCATATTTTTTCAACACACACACGAAAAAAAAAACCATTACAACAACAAAGACATACCCAAATGAATAATTAACTATCTATTGATTTTTGACGATTCGAATCGTCGTAATTTATTCTAGCTTAATAAAATTATTGTATTTGCGTGAATAAAATTTGTCCATTACACATTTATTGTGATGTAATTTTTAAGCATACACACACATACATAGAGGGAGAGAGAGAGAGAAAGAGTCTTCATGGCCGGCAAGGCACAAAATAATCAAATCTGAGTCCAATGTACAACAGAACCAGGAACCAATTTAAATTTCATATGTAAACGATTATGTATACCTCTGCCACGGACTCTGTCCAATTTCTCCATTCCTCATTCGTAAATATGCTTTGAATATAAATTAGACCAAACATTAGCATTTATTAAAATTATTAACTGCCGATGAAATTGCCGTTTTTTTTATGCTCGTTCCATTTTTAATGAAACGAAAACTACCCCAAATCGTTTAATTTAATTGTCCCGAGCACTGATTTTAGAAAAAATAATTATTCACAAAAAAAAAATACATGAAAGATGTTTAAATGAATAGACGGAAGACTCGAAAAAAATTCGAAATGAATAAATTGCAATCGAATTCTTTTCCTTTCAAAACATTTTCACATCTTGTTGCTAGAGATTTTTAAGATGAACTTGTCCATCCTTCAACACCTTCAATTCATTGAATAAAGAAATTGGAACAGAAAAAAGGAGGAGAAGAAGAAGAAATCTAATAACCACCAGATTCCTTATATTAAGTTCTGACATTTCCGGTATAAATGTAGGTGTGGATTTATATGTGTTGGTTTTTGACAGAGCAAAGAAGAGATAGAGAGAGAGAAAAAAAAACAATACTACTTCACACCATTCCATTGAAAATGCAATAGAATAATAATTCTATGGGCATAAAACATCTCTCGTGGCCTATTTAAGTTTAGTTCTATTTTTAAAAAAATGAAAGAAAGAGATGCATTGAAATCTGCTATACTGTGTCATTGCATTTGAATGTTTTCTGTGGAATATTTTTCCTTTCAGCGATGCATCCACCACAATCTAGTGACATAAAGCAGACTTTTTGACACGTTACTGACTCTGTATGCTCACATATGCAAGCGTTCACACCTACACAAACAGAATTTATTGAGAAAAATTGCTGGAATCGCCCAAGGAATCAAAATAAATATGTATATATGTGTGTGTACATATTTTTTTATAAAAGCTTTAGCATGATTTATCAAGAGTGTGAAAGTGAGATGAATCGGAGGCGAAATGAGAAAAAAACGACAAAAAGGTGTCATTTGCAACGCGTTCACTCGCATAACAAAAAAAAAAAACGAAATTATGTAATAAAAAATTGCAAATGAGAAAATTAAACGAAACATTAGATGGATTTAAATGAATGTCTTGTGGTGTAGTGTCAAAACGTCAAAGTATATAGAATTTTTGCCGTTCGTGGTTGGGAAAATGCCGAATGAATAGAAGCATAAAAGAACATATTGTGTTATACATTTAGGGCAAATAAAATGTGTGATTGCCAAAGTTTGTTGTTAAATCAACCATGAATATTTTCATTTCCATCACCAAGACATAATAAGAAGAAGATCCTTGAAGATTTTACCACTTGGCACACTCATAATATTCTAACGATTAAAGTTTCATGACAATTGTTCATATATTTTCGTTTCAGGGAATGTAGAGAGAAGGGGCAGACTAGCTGAAATGCGTACATTGAGAAGAACAAAACATATCCAGTGAGAAGCAAATACACACAACAGAGCTGCAAGAACGTCGATCAAATACATATCAGTTTTTTATGAATTAAAAACACCGAAACGAAACAAACAAACAACAAAAACAACAACAAATTAAATCGTTGATATCCATATTTTTGAAATCTAGTCTTAACATTAAGCATCCTAGTCTTTTGAAATTTTTTTTTTTTTTTGGACGAAAAGGATTACTCTTAAAACATATCACACTCATAAGCTAAATAATAATAATAAAGGATACATAAAAAACAATAACAACCCCCGAAAAGGAAAGAGATCGTAGTCATGATATCACGACTGGTGCCGTTATTTTCGTTTACATTTTGTGTAACACAATTATTTACACCTGCACATGGAATTATCGATCGACTGGTCGTTCAAACAAGCTCTGGACCGATTCGCGGTCGCTCAGTGAAAGTGGAAGGTCATGAAGTACATGTTTTTACCGGCGTTCCGTTTGCCAAGCCACCCATTGATGGACTACGATTTAAGAAGCCCGTTCCGGTTGAACCGTGGCATGGTGTATTAGATGCAAGCCGACTTCCACCAACGTGTGTTCAAGAAAGGTACGACACAGAAATGAACAGAAGAAAAAAAGCACAAAATCAATAATCGAACTTGTGTTGCAATCACATATTCGGCAGATTTCGAGTGAATATAGCAAGTGCACGTATTCAACGATGCTATTTACTCTACATATTGGAAGCGTGAAGTTCTTGTAAAATTCATTTGATATATTTGCCATAAAATATTTGTTGCAACATGCACACACTCATACAAGCACATAAATATGGCCCAGGCGCTGATTGTTAAAATGTATGTTCAATTGGTTATCTTACAGATACGAATATTTCCCGGGTTTTGCGGGCGAAGAAATGTGGAATCCAAACACTAATATTTCGGAAGACTGTTTATACTTGAATATTTGGGTTCCAGTCAAACCAAAACTCAGACACGGGAGAAATGCAAATGGAGCGTCTGGCGTAAGTTTTTGTTATTTCTTAAAACTTTTATTTCAATTTTTATCACCGTTCCATTTCACAATTTAAAAACTACTGACCTCTTTGCCTTGACTGATTTTTTGGCTTTTTAATTGCATTTTCACACTTAAGCACAATTAAACAAAAACTTTATTAGGGCACTTTTTTCTCTCTCCCACTATTCGTTGTTTCGTTGCTAATTTTATTCAAATTTCCAGCATAATAACGGCGAACACGAGCACACCACACACGGAAACGATGAAACACAAACAAAACAAAATGGTCTGGCGATGTTGGTTTGGATTTATGGTGGCGGTTTTATGAGCGGCTCATCCACTCTCGACATTTATAATGCAGAAATACTGGCGGCGGTTGGCAATGTCATCGTAGCATCAATGCAATATCGTATCGGTGCATTTGGTTTCTTGTACTTGGCACCGGAATTGGGTGACTTAAAGGATGAAGTACCAGGTAAAATGGGTTTCCGGTACCAAGCTCCAAACCGTTTTTTTTTTCTGTTTTAATTATTATTTGTAACAACAAGCCATGTTAATTACAAATTTATGGTTGTTTGCTTTTCATATACATGACATAAATTGCGTATTGGCACCGATTATATTCACCTGTGTGCATTATTATTCCAAATTCAAATACAATAAATGTTTGTACAACAAAATTGCTTTTTTATCGATTTGCAAACTGGTTTCTCGGAATGTATGTTGTACACACATTTCTTCATCTATATATTTGATGGCAAAAATAATTCGTAGTAAAATTATATAGTTTTTGCAATAGAATTGGAAAGTGTACTATTATTCTTGAATAATATTTGTTCACGTGGAAGATTGAAGAGCACAAACTTCAACATCTCAATAAACGAAACGATTTTCAATTTGGAAAATTTCCTTCGTTGCGACAGCATTTTAACGCATCTCATTGCAAAGCAGACGCTTTTCAATCACACTTTACACCGCGCATCAAGGAAGTGTAATCCATTTTCACTAAAGTATGAAGAATATGGAGTATGTTTTGTTGTCGAAGTGACATCCAACTGCATTTTGATTTGTGATAAGTCACGGTGGTTCAGTTTTGCGAATTTGCATACATCGACATCTTTTTCTTCATTTTTTTATTGTTGTTTTGAATGATTTTCTATATTATTATCGATGCTTTATTCAATTAGGTAACGTTGGAATGTGGGATCAAACAATGGCGATACGTTGGTTAAAAGATAATGCAAAAGCATTCGGCGGTGATCCCGATTCGATCACATTATTTGGTGAGTCTGCCGGAGGTAGTGCAGTTAATCTTCATCTGTTGTCACCAGCCACTAGTAAACTTGCTCGTCGTGGTATTATACAATCGGGTACATTGAATGCACCATGGAGTCATATGTCAGCGGAAAGAGCCGTTGATATTGGTCTCGCACTCATCGACGATTGTAATTGTAATTCAACAATGTTAAAAGTAAGACGATGAACAAACACCAAAAAAACACACTGACAACAACAAAAAATAATAATGATTCAACGTTTGACTGCGCGTTTTTTCAGGAATCACCACAAGTCGTGCTTAATTGCATGCGAAGTGTTGATGCAAAAACGATATCAGTGCAACAATGGAATTCATATTCCGGAATTTTGGGCTTTCCATCGGCACCAACTGTGGACGGTGATTTTATGCCATCCGATCCAATGACCATGGTAATTATTATTGGTTAATTCTTTTTTTTTAACAAAACTATGAAGCTTTTGTGTTATTTAATTTGAAGTACACTGTACTGATATGATTAACCACGAATATGTAAATAGTATATATTTTATTTCGTTTAATTTTCATATAGCTTGAAGAGGCTGATTTAAACGGCATCGATATATTAGTTGGAAGCAATAAAGACGAAGGTTAGTCCAAATATTTTATTACATAAGTTCCATTTCATTTGTGTGTATTATTTACAAATGCCAAGCCAATGTAGTAAAAATGCTGTATTAAAAACCATACAAATTATCATTACGACTCGGTCGATATGCGTAATGAAGGTCACGCTCATATAGCTATGGGCAAAGGCATAAAGAAAGAAAAAGCAAATAAAAAGACATAAAAACCGATAAAAATGTTGTGGTACGAAAAGAAAAAAAAATCAGTAAAAAAACCCATCTAATGTCGCATGCCACATTCAACTGCATAATACAAAATAATCTAAAACAGCAACAACAAACAAACGAAATCAAAATATTGATTTATATGCACATGCATGTCAGAATTGAAAAATCACAGCAACAAAATAAGCAAACAAAACAATGTAAACCGTAGAAAAAGCTCCGCCACTTTCAACGAAACGGGTGCGAGAGAAAAAAAAAATTGTGCGTATATACATATATATTTTATATACGATATGGGTATGTGTACATAATAGCTTTACCAATGATAATCATCGACCTTGAACTCAGTCAATTTTTCTCTATTTCGCATACGCACAAAAAGCTCAACATCGTGTACATAAAGCGTGCATATATAAAACAAGAGAAAGAAAGAGACGGAGACACACGGTTACCCAAATGAATGCCTTTACACATGGAGGTCCGTTTATGCTTTTAGCCATATTAAAATGTGTACGGGACGACGGTAAATTCGTTTTTTTACGCATACACCGTAAAATCAAACCGTAGGTATCTTTATCTCTATATCGTAACACACAACGATTTTCGATAGCATATACACGTGCTGACGAATTATTGTGCATGTGTTACGAGTGGCACGCTTGGCCTCAATTTTTTACGATCCAACGTATACGTCTCAATAATAATAAGAAGAGAGAAAGAAAGAAAGAAAGAACGAACGAAAATACGAAGAAAAAGCGTTGAGCGTAAAATGAGCACAGTCAAAGGGATACAAAGGAGTGGAGATAAGTATTTGGCCCATCGTAAACGTGAATATAATATTATTGAGTTGTTGATAGAACCAAAACCAGCAACCATCGAATTCGAATAAAAGATTAAGTAAATTCAATTAAAAGATTCACTGTCAAGAGGAAGAATAGAAAGCACGTCGCGACTTTGGGTATTTTGAATTATTGTATAACATAATAAAATCTATATAATACCATTTTTTTGTCACCATACTATCTCGTTTGGTATGGAAAATTTTCAGCTATTGTAATTTTCGAAAATGTATGTTTTTTTCTCTCGTCGTATTGAAAAGTTCGCCTTTTTTATATATCGAATATTGTATTGCAAAAATCCTGGAAAAATCACAAACAAAAGCATATACACCCAGTTATATAATACAGCGCATGCAGGCATATACAAGCACAATGCCAGGGTTTAATGGGGAAAACTCAGTTTTCCTTTGCAAAAGTGCCGGATTCGCCAGCGTACGACATTCGTTCCAGCAAACCCTCGAACAGACACAAATTTCTGTTTCCCTTCTCCTCATCTCCCTATTACTCTCTCTCTCTCTCTCTCTATCTCTTTCTCACGTACACATACACAAATGCACGCACCCGCTTCTTTACTCACTTCATTTTACAATGTTGTTTTTTTTTATCTTCCTCCCGCTCATTCGTTCTCTTGTGCTCTTCTACTGTTTATTGTCGCTATAGTACACTTTGCTCGTGCAGTCAATTTATTTATTTATTATCCCATTCGCATTCACATTCGATCGTAATGCTATCAGCGAACACAGAGTTTGTTTGGGTAAATAAGAATTTCCATTTTCATTTATTTTTCATATCTTTCTAGCTTAGACTCTGGCGATAGATTTTTCGTCTCCTTTTACTGCTCCTTTCGTTTTGCATCCGTTCAGTTTGCAATGGGTTTTATTATAAATATATACATTTTAGTATAGCCAGGCTATTTTGCTACTTGTTGTGTTGCTGTGTGGTGCCAAAAGTCATAAATGTCCATACGAACGTTCTTACTATTTTCATGTTTTACTTTCAACAACAAAAAAAAGGAGTAAGGCAAGCATAATGAATGCTTGATTCGTCTTCCTCGATTTCGAAATATCGTACATGTAAATCATCAACATGTTATACGTAGGCGACTATTTAAGTTTCTTCAATATGTATGTTTTAGTATTGCCCGATGCAAACCATTGTCATATTCGTTAAGTTTAACATTTTGTAGCATAAACGTTCTCAGAACGTTTTGTCATTCGATCGTTATTTGTATTGTTTACCGTAACATGTAAATTGCGTCTCAGCCAAAAAATGAATTTTACTCGTGAAAATTTTCGAGCGATTATTTTTTTCCACTTTCGATTGGGTGTATCACAACAACAGTGTTTTGATCAACTTCATTTGGCCTTTGGCGATGAAGTACCAAGTCTTCGGAAAATTTATAATTGGTACAACGAATTCAAGCGCGGTCGCCTATCGCTCATCGACGAGTTCCGCGAAGGTCGTCCAAAATCAGTTGTTGTACCAGAAAACATCGATGCTGTCAGAAATATGATAATGGAAGATCGTCATGTAACATATCACGAGATTGAGGCATCCCTGGGCATTAGTGCGACCAGCGTATTTAAGATTTTACATGAACATTTAGCTGTCAGAAAGATTTGCTCTCGTTGGATACCACATAATTTGACAATCGCTCAAAAAAAGGCTCGTGTCGATTGGTGTAAACAAATGCTCAAGAAATTCAATCGTGGTGTTTCAAAATCCGTGTATTTTATCGTCACTGGTGACAAATCATGGATCTACGCGTATGAGTCCGAAACTAAACAGCAGTCGACTGTATGGGTCTTTCAAAGTGAAGATAACCCAACAAAAGTTTATCGAGCTCGAAGTGTTGCGAAGCAAATGGTCGCCTGTTTTTTCGCGATAAGTGGTCATGTGGCAACAGTTCCACTAGAGGATCGTAAGACCGTCAATTCTGATTGGTACACCACCATTTGTTTGCCCGAAGTGTTTGATGAAATAAGAAAAAACAACCGCCGTCGCAAAATAATTCTTCATCATGATAATGCGAGCTCTCACACATCTCATCAAACAGTCGATTATTTGACCGGTCAAAAGATCGATTTAATGGGTCATCCACCGTACAGTCCTGATTTGGCACCCAACGATTTCTTTTTATTCCCGAGCGTGAAGAATAAACTGCGTGGTCAACGATTTTCATCGCCCGAAGAAGCAGTTGATGCGTTCAAAACACACGTTTTGGAGATATCACTTTCGGAGTGGCATGAATGCTATGACAAATGGTTCGAGCGAATGCAAAAGTGTATTGATCGTCATGGCGAATATTTTGAAAAACAATAAAACCATTTTCGATGAAACCCCATTGTCTTATATATGTTTTTGAAAAAACTTAAATAGTGACCCTCGTATTCAATACAAATACGCAAATCATTTTCCAAAGTAAATAAGATGAACAAGTTCAGCGTATCACGTGTAATTTTCCAACATTTGCATCTTTTCAAACATTTGCACAGTAATTTTCCGACAAATTCGAAAGCGCATCAAATGAAAATCAAAATGATTATATTGAATTTATGTTATGAAATAGAATACACGTGATTTTCGACATTCAGTCAAAATGCCTTGTTAGCTTGAACAAACTAAGTAATATATATTGGATAGAAAAACTACATGTTTTTTATTATCCATTGAAAATTTCGCAGATATTTTTCTTTACTTTTCGATTTAAACTTATTTGCGGTTCAATTGAGAGAGAAACTTTACATGGTGGACACAGAAAATCCACATTTTTTTAAATTTCATTCCATAAAAGTGAACTTCATTTTCCGTTGCTAAATTTTGAAGACGAAGAGGAAGAGGAAGAAGAACAAGTAAGCAATTGAGTATTTTTCCATGAGAATATATTGCATTTAAATGTTTATCGTATAGTCACAAAAAGTGTTATAACTGCTATATACACACGCACACGATGAAAAAGAGCAACCTTCATTTATTTCTCACGTTTACTATGGCCTGTATTTTGTACGATCAAGCACATTTATTATATAAAGAAGAAGAGAAAAAAAAAATTGGAAAACCCGCAAAAATATGCTATTTACGACGCAGTTTGCTGCTGAGGCAATTTCAAATGTATTACAGGGCATTTGATACGACTTTGATTTTAAGCAAAATAAAAAAGAAACATTTCCGTTCTTTTACTCTCTCTCTCTCTCTCTCTCTCTCTCTCTCTCTCTCTCTCTCTCTCTCTCTACCATTGTTATCTACAGTAAATGATATCTGTTTGTGAAAGGCGCTAGCCGACAATTATTTTGATTATTTTCTCTTGTTTTTTTTATACACAAACTTTATCCGTGTGTATTGTCGTGTGCGTTGCGAATGGTCAGTATTGTGTACAACAATGTTTCCATTAAACATGAATAAATTACAATTGGCCTGATGAAAATATAACATATAAGGTATAATGCGTCAAATGTTGTGTTTTACTTTTCCGCACACACCTAGTGTGTAAGGTAAAGTATTGGAATCGGTCGAAAAATATGTTTTCTGGGTGTTTTTGGGGTCAGGGAACACGAATCTAGCGTTTTTTCGATGTCCGAATGTATGTGCGTACCCTGTACCCTGTATCCTGTACCCTGTACCCTGTACGCAAAAATTTGTTAACACGATACCTTTCAAACAAGAAAAGCAATTCAAAATCTGACTTCACAGGATGATTGGGGGTGCCGAGGAATAGAAACCATTAGACGGGTAGGAATATCAAAACGTATTTTGTACTGAAATGTCACTTTTGCAAAAAGATTTTTACATCCTACTGCCATCTACTTTCGTATCGATTACTATTCTAATATCAAAACGAAATGAATCCACAAATATGTTTCTAGTGGTTAATTTAATGAATATTATGATTGCCAATCTTTTAAAAAAATGTTTTATTCATAAAAAAATATTAATCGGCAATAAAAAACGTGAATGCATCGTTTTAACAAGTCGAAATATCAAAAGCATTCACTCAATAAAGTTGTGTATTGTGAGAGCCAACTTCAGACAGATTGTATATATGTGACAACTATTTTTTGACATTTGTAAAACCGGTAATTAGGTGTTTGTGTTTCAACTATAAACATTAAACATGCGAAAAGTAATTTTGCTTTTTTTTTATTAATCATCATTTTACTGTGACTTTTTTTCTTAATTTTTACATTTTTATATTTTTGATTCATTATTGGTTGTTCTTTGTGCTTTACTTTCATTTTTTCCCTGAAATTTAGAAGTGTGGAATGTGCGAAAAATCGTTCATTCGTTTACAAACTTTGCGGGAACACGTCGAAAATGTTCACCAGCCAATGAAGAAAAAATTCAAATGCCCGAATTGCGACATATTTTGCTCGAGACCGCACAATTTAAAGGCACATTTTCTTCAAATGTAAGTATTTTGAAAAAATTGTTGATTGATCTATTCACACGTTCACAGATAATAGATCATGGTTCGGCAACAGCTGATTCAGCAACAGCTGATTCAGCAACAGCTGATTCAGCAACAGCTGATTCAGCAACAGCTGATTCGGCAAAAGCTGATTCGGCAACTTCTGATTATGTGCGAGCAAAATATGTCGCAATTCGGGCATTTGAATTTTTTCTTCATTGGCTGGTGAACATTTTCGACGTGTTCCCGCAAAGTTTGTAAACGAATGAACGATTTTTCGCACATTCCACACTTCTAAATTTCAGGGAAAAAATGAAAGTAAAGCACAAAAAACAACCAATAATGAATCAAAAAAATAAAAATGTAAAAATTAAGAAAAAAAGTCACAGTAAAATGATGATTAATAAAAAGAAGCAAAATTACTTTTCGCATGTTTAATGTTTATAGTTGAAACACAAACACCTAATTGCCGGTTTTACAAATGTCAAAAAATAGTTGTCACATATATACAATCTGTCTGAAGTTGGCTCTCACAATACACAACTTATAGGTTGGTGGCGCTAGGAGTAAGTTTTTTTGAGTGCTTGCTTTTGATATTCCTACCCGCATTAGATTATGAGCGACTTTGGTTGATAGAGTAACGTGTCATGTCTGGTGTGATTCCCATGGCCATCCATGGGAAAAATTCAATTTTTCATCCAAAAGTGATATTTAATGTATTCCTAAACACTCAAAAATATGTATTGGGGGGTTTTTGGGTGCGAGAAAACCGAATATGACGTTAGTTTTGCGATACAAATAATTTTCGACACACTTTTCATACAAAAATTTCTAAAAATTTGGATTTTTGTATGAAAGCCATGCCTGTATCATATCGTAATGAGCTGAAACTTTGCACAAGTTATTTTTTTCACACAAAAATAACATTCCGAGGGTTTGAAGGGATTTCAATGCATAATAGAGGTACCTTCCGAAGAAAATTTTGGATATTTTGCTCAAAAACGAAAATTTTGTACCACTCAATTGTATTGAAATCTCTTCAAACTTTCAGAATGTTAGCTTTTTGTGAAAAGAATAACATCTGCAAATTTTCAAATGATTACGATATCATACAGGCATTGAAAAGTCTATCAAAAATTATTTGTATCGCAAAACTTATATCAGATTCAGTTTTCTCATGAATTCATATTTACGGTAAAATATACGTAATAAATGCATATTGTGGATCACAGTGCGGAAAAGTTCATCTTACGGATGTAAGACATTTTATTTCTTCCGCGTTTTACTTAATTTGGAGATGGTGTTGTTGCTCTTTGGTTTGAGTGCGTATTTCATTACTCAGCAATTAAATGGTTCGCTTTTAACCATTGCCATCGTTATCGTCCTCTTTCCGCTTTCATTACGGGAAATCTCGTTGTTTTTGTTGTTGTTGTTATTCAAGAAAATAATTCTCGCTTTTCTGTATATTTTTTTACATTACAGGCACATACTTTTTGCTATATGATTTTATCGACTACTTTGAAAAAGATGCGCCAACCAATCTGCCGCGAGCCAAATTTCTTGAAATCATGAACACAATATTCAACAAACATTCGGAGCCTGAGCGAGAAACCATCATATTTCAGGTAAATATTTAATGATTTTGCTGTAATAATCTGTAGGTTTTCTCTCATTGAGCGTACAAAGCAATATGAACGAACAAACGAAAAAACAAGAACAAAAAAAAGTTTCAATACCGAAAAATGAAAATCGGAATGTCATTGCAGTACACCAATTGGGAGAATATAAATGATGGCTTTCAAAACCAATATCAAGTGGGTCAAGCGGTCGGCGATCATTTTTTCATATGTCCAACCAACGAGTATGCGGCCGGTATGACTGCGCGGGGAGCATCTGTACTTTACTACTACTTTACACATGTAAGTACTTCCATTTACGTGCCCATATTTTCAATGTCAATATCCATTATTGATTAATACGAGTGCTTCAAATATAATAACGTTGTTTCCGAACTCATGCACGGCTATTCTCTTACTCTCTCCATCACATTCAAAAGCTTCGCATTTTCTCTATATATGTGTGTATTATTCATATTTTTCTCACTCTACCTTTCTATTTCTTATTCTCATTTCGAATATTAGTTTCTCTCTTTGTCTCCCTTGATGTTTTATTATTTCCGTCATTTCATTACATCAATAAAGAGTCTTACGGGAGTAAGACGAACTTTTCCGCACGGTGGTAGTTGCGTATTTTATTAAGAAAGTTCAAAATAATATTTTTTCGATTTTTCAAGCCTTTCAAGCGGCGTAAAGTTTGAGGCCAAAAAATATGTTTCAACTTTGGCAACGAAATATTCTTTAATTTAATAGCAGAAGTACCCGAGAAAAGATTTTTCACACTTTCATGATGAACCTATTTGTACGACATTTGAAAGTATTCTATTATTTTCCAACAAAACACTATAAAAAATATGTCTGACGCTAATTTTGGCATAGAAATTATTTTTGAAACACTTTTCATAACGAAAGTCACAAAAAATTTGGATTTTTGTATGCGAGCCATGTCTGTATGCTACCTTAATGGTGTGAAACTTTGCACGGGTTGTTTTTTCACAAAAAAATAACATTCGGAGGGTTTGGAGAAATTTCAACCAAAATTAAGAGTACCTCCCATACAAAATATTCGTTTTTGAGCCAAAAACTGAAAATGTTGTATGGGAGGTACCCCTTAAGCAATAGCACTTAACATCCTGTTAAGTCAGATTTTGAATTAAGTTTCTACGATGAGCGCAATCTTGCTAACAAATTTTGCGTACGACGTACAACGTACGACGTACAGATTAACATAAACCATGCTCAAAACGGCCTGATTCGGGTTCTCTGACCTCAGAAACGTCCAGAAAACATGTTTCTGAAGTTTTCAAAATTTTGACCGATTACAATACTTTTCACCTTACACTATGTGTGCGGAAAAGTAAAATCAAGTGTCAACCAGACTTTGGGTTGGTCAGATGAAGGACTTTTCTTGTACGCACCAAATCTACTGAAAGTTTGAAGCTTTGATGTCACTTGTAGGTACACAGAAGACATGGAAAAAGGAGAAAGAATAAAGAAAATGCAAAGGGACAGCTACAAAACGGTGAAACAGTGAATGTTTTAATTGAACTGTTGTTTGAAATTGTTTTAATGCAAACGAAACACTTTTCAATAAATAAAAATTGGCTTTTGCAAAACCAATGAACAAATATAATGGTCTTTCGCCTCGAAAAAGTGAAATCAAAAGCGAAACACATGCCATCCAATCTGCAGCTTTTGAGTTTTACTTCGTGAAATTGATAGAGATATAAGAGGCAACTCAGTGTGCCGTGAGAATGTGTAGTATAGAAAAAGAGTTCAAATGCTTCCATACGGAACGTTATATCAATAAGTGCGAAGGCACAAAAATGTCAACTATCAAAGATAATCCAAGGTCAATTCGTCTGCAATCGTACACACACACTCTCTCTCTCTCTCACACACACACACACACACACACACACACACACATACCATTATATTCATACATAAGCACCACAAAAGTCTTATGCTTATTATGTTGTATATAACATTGGAATATATATATATATATACAGTTGTGTGAAGTGGTATCAAATTGAGACTAACGGTACGGTTTTACTATAAGAAAACAACGGTATCTCTTTTCCGAATCCATTTGCTGTAGACATTTCACTGACTACGTCGAAGCATTCGAATCATTTGAGTTGCCGTACAAATTTAACGAATAACTAAAAGAAGTATACACTTCTGCTAAGTTTGTTTGTTTGATTTGTGTTTTTTTTTCCTTTCTTTCTTTTTGCTCTTCTGTTTGCTCCTTCTGTCGTTAATGTGTGTTGTTGGTGTAGCGAAAGTGAAAGTGCGTGCCGAAATGGCATTCATTGGCTTCATGGCAATGGAAGGTGTGTAGTAGAAGTATACTATGTCCCATTGGAAAAACTTTAGCAGCAACAAATGAACTTGAAATTATCTGTAACGAAGGAAATATTTTTTTTCTTTCTTTCTTTCTTTCTTTCTCTCTTTCTGTGTATTTAAAGAAGAAAAAAATGGATGATTTTAATTCGCTTCTCTTGTTCCAATAACTTTGACTCTGTAACATATAACAAACATCGCACGCTCCCTATTGTACTGGCCTCTATCTCTCTCTGTATTTGTATAAAAGTGTTATTCTAGCTGAACAAAATATCAACCCATTATTTGAAATTGTACATATTATTCCATAGACGCACGAAAGAAAAACCCATAGTACATGCACATGACTATCTTTTCCACCTTATATAATGTACAAGCAAATGCTTTCACTTTTCCATGGAGTTAATGTATGTATATGTTGATGGTATTGGATGGTGAACCTGTCCCGTTTTTTCATGTTCGTTTTCAATTTGAACAATTTTATCGTATTTTCATCGTACGGTTTTCAATATCGCTTTGAAATCAATCAAATGAACGTGTGTCCAGAGCTCAAAACCACATGAACACCTTCTTTTCTCGAGTTCAAAAAAAAAAAACACAAATCAAATAAAATTCTAAATTCAATTTAAAATCGTATGAACGTTTTCCTTTCTGCTTTTGGAGTCAACAAACAACTCATTAATGTAGTAGACATTTTTGATTAAAATGTTTATCTTGAACATTGATTACAAGCATTTGCTTCGTTCCGTATGGTTTATCTCTTTATATATATATCGAATATAAATAACAAAAAAAAACACGAATGACACACGATAATGTAACGCGATATCTATTCTGCATATATTTGGATAAATAAAGAAGATGCATACATTTAAATGGATATCAATTTTACTGCTGATTGATTTAATAGAGTACGGCTCCCTTGACAATGGCTGATTTTTAGACAAACTTATAACCGTGAATGTGTGCGTATATCTATATATTACCAAGCATATTGTGTGCAAATTCAAAAGCTCAAATGAAACCAAAAGTAAATATCCACTTCGATCCATTTCATCGACACACCAGCTGTATGGCTCGACTTTGACCGCAAAACAATTGAATGTGAACATAAATTTGTGTGTTTGTGTGTCTTTAGATTTGATTAGATTTTATTGCAAGATCTTCTTCTTCTTCTTAAGAGGTTCTGATTTGGTTGTAATTGTTTCTCTCTTTTTTTTTTCATTTTAATCGTACAAAATTTAGCGTACCAGCACATCGCTTTGGGGTGAATGGATGGGTGTTTTACACGCTGATGAAATTGAATACATATTTGGTCAACCATTGAACAATTCATTGCAGTACAGAGATCGAGAGCGTGAACTTAGTCGTCGAATGGTGCAAGCTGTTAGTGAATTTGCACGAACTGGGTAAAATTGCATAATAATTGGAATTGGTCCGGGTGTAATTACAATAAAAATCATTTGCTTTTTTGTGCAATAGAAATCCATCATTGGAAGATGAAGAATGGCCTGAATATAGCAAGGAAAATCCAATTTATCGAATTTTCAATGCCGAAGGCGATGGAAAACATCAAAAAGAGCATTTCGGCAAAGGACCAATGGCCTCAGCCTGTGCATTTTGGAACACATACCTACCACGACTGTCAACATGGACAGGTAAGTTAATCACTGCAACCGATTTTAATCGATTGTCTAATGAATATGTCCATACTCTTGTTTCTTTCGTTTCATTTTTCATTTCGTGTTCGGTTGTGATTTTGACAACATTTCTATGTAATAGATTCAAATAGTTTACCGTGTTCGGATCCAGTTCAAAGTAGTACAGCAGCAACGCCTACAAAAATCTCCAAACTTAGTTTATCTATTGGCCTTAGCATGATTTTAATGAAATTAATTCAAAATCATCTCACAGGAATATAAAAGGAATGAGCGCCGCCAATAATTTGATGAAAGAAAATACCTAACAAAGAAAAAACCAAACAAATGATGTGAATCTATCGTTCAATAGATGAACGAAATCGAATTGATGAACAAAAAAAAGCAGTGAAATAAAACCAGTAGCTGTTACCCTTCAGAGTAAAATTAGAAGTGTAAAAAAAGTTTAAGATATGAAAAAAAATCTATCCAGCAACTGGCAACGCTCCACATATACGACAAGCTTATTGTCGTTTATATGTAAGTCTCGGAGTAATTTGTGATATATATACATTCAATAGCTCCAGAATTCACTATTGAATGATTTGGACGATGAACAACCACAAAAAATAACCATTTTTCCACTCAGTTTTGATGATTTAATTTTACCAAAACAAAAATGGATAGAGATTCGATTCACTCAAATTAGATTGAGGTTGCATTTTCAAAATGAATAGGAAAATACATAAGAAGCAACAAATGCCTCGGTTTTTTTTTTAATTTTAAAAACCAAACAGTAAATGAAACATATCATCAATAATAATCGAAAAATAAAATTATTAGGACTTCAATGTTGTTAACAAAAAAAAAAAATCTAAAATTAACGTAATCTATAACAACTGTGTACTTTTGCCGGATCCATGCTCAGGCTCTGCAAACAAAAAGGAGCAAACAAATTCACCTTCAGTGTTTTCATTGCATTCGTTTTGTATGCTGCGAAGAATGAAAAGATGCAGATGGGCTCATTCGATTGGGCTGCTTATGCTTACCTTAACACGCAAACATCCTCTCTCGGCCTTGCTGAACGCATTATATCGTGCTTCGATTGGCATTTTCCGGTATTGGGCTTCGCGCCGCTAATGTTCGCTGCTTTGGTTCGATTAACAATGATCTTGGCAAATCAAAACTCAACCAAAACAATAAAATACCATTGTGCCCACATCTAAAATCTAGTTTTCACCTCTGTAGAGTTGTGCATTTTATCGAAACAGTCTTCCAAAAAAAAAAAAACGATTGAAAGAACATGTTCTTAACGGTTTTCATCATTGTCATCACAGTTTGAAATAGACACAAACATCAAATTTTGAATTCCATTATATTTTACAGTATTGAAACTTGGCAGATGCATCCAAATTTCATGATATTAAAAAAAGTACCATGTTCAAAAAATCAGCGCGCGATGATAGTTTTTTCCTTAGCTTGAAGTGATTTTGATGGTTTAGGTCTCATATGGAATTATATTCGTTTCGTCTCACTTCTAACCACTTACGTGTTCCAATATTAAGAATATCTATACAAAACAGTTGTTTCGTGTGTACTGCCTCAATATTTGGATTAGAAGTTTTCGGGAGTAAATCCAAGTTATTCATTTCACACAATGAAAACTCTTCAAATCAGAGTTAATAAAAGTTAACTGATTCATGAGCAGTGTTGCTCTTTCATTCTACATGATGCGCTTTTTAATTTGCCAAAATTCCATTTTATGTTCAATTAAAATGCTCATTGAAAACTATTGAAATTGTCCGGCATCGAAATGTGTTCAGTAACCACCGAAAGAGAGTCACTACATTTCATTTAATTTCCGTCAAAGTATAAAATGAATACAAAAGAATTTCTAAAGCGAGTTTTTTTTCTTTAAAAAACCGACTCCTTAAAAAACCATGATTTTTTTTAAAAGCAAAAGCAAGATTAGCATGAAAAGTTATTTGGTTTAAATGTAATTTCATAAAACTTACAAATGCACGTGCATGTCAAAGGCCAACGAAATAGGACCATCAAAAGTACAAAAATCGGAAAGCAATGTACATTGTATTAATTTTTTGAGCAATGCATGAAATAAAATAAATATAATGCAATCAAAGAATGCACATTGAAAAAAAAAGTTTGCTTATTATATAGCCATATGGGGGCTTGTTCATGTTCTTTATCATAAACAAAACAAAATAATATTCACCAAAAAATATGATTAGTTCACATTTTATTCATAAATTGATTATCGAAAGAGCAGACACAGTGATTACGTTAGCAATAGCACTGAGCCCATTGAATATATATATCGACTTCAGTGGTTGGAGTAATGTCTCCCTACTGAACACATGTCATTTGGATGACATAAAATATGTATCCAAAATCAAAAAAAAAAAAAAATTAACAAAAATGAAATCTATATAAGTAAATGATTGATGTTGCTCAATCAAACTTCATTTTATATGAACCATTATTTAAGCATCCTCTACTATTATATAAAGTACGTTTTAAGTACAGGTAAACGGCTAAAATCGGGGACAAAAAAAATATATAAGAAAAAATGTGTTACAACTCTATTCATCTCTATCATGCCCAAACTGATATTATGATATAAATAATATATATATAAAAATGATTCATATGAGAAAAAAAATGAATATTTATGTACGAAGTTGGTATTTAGAATTAAAATAAAATATATACTATCGACGATTTTACATTTGGGACTAGATCCTGAGATTTTTGGATTTATTCCAATAAACCTTTCCGACAAATACATATCAATTGTAAACAACAAACCACAAAATGGTGCACCTTACCTTCTAAACAATTTTTTTTGTTTTGGCTTTTTTCGACTAAATGAAATGATTATTATAGCACATTTTCCAACCGATTTGTATGTGAGATAGGTTTTGTGTTGATTTTTCTGCTAAACGTAATGCTAAATAAATCAGCCCGTATCACATTTATCACCAAACTAAATAATAATAATAATGATAAACAGGAAGTAATGAACATATGTTGATATTGAATAAATAAATGAATGAATGGAATAAAAATAAAAATTTATTAAATATCGCCAATGAGACCTAATAAACGTTTAAGCAAAATAGAAACAAAACAAAGTTAGTTTTATAAAGATATTGAATGCTCTCGATGACTATAAGTAACTCATATAGTTTACTATTATTGCATGATAATGTAGCGGTTAGAGTTGGAGACAACAAGCTTTTATCATGGACAGATCAAACAAAAATTTATGTATGTCTTTTTATTTTGGTGAATTAAAAGTGTGAAAGAATGAAAGAATATATCTATTATTGAAAATAAAACTGATTTCAGATAATAGAGATGGCAATAAATTTATGAATCAAGTGTTAAGTAGTTTACACGATGAAAACATATCAGTAAAGTGCAGCTTCATTTATTGAAAATACAGAAAACAAAACGAAAATGAGAAATAAATTTATATACACGGTATAAGTCGAGAACCGTACTGTAAATAAGTCTTCTATACACTTTTTAGACCCCGTTTAGTCATTTATAAATATATATATATATACATATATTGGATACAAAAACAAGGAAATTTAATGCATATCATGAGACAACATATACAAGATAAAAATGAAAATAGTACTAATAATATTGAAATACACCACAGAAATTAAGAAAAATATAACTAAATAAAAACGCGACGTTCATCCGTCACAATTTATTAAAATTAAAAAAAAGTCGAACAAAAATCTATTCTGTGTGATCTAATATTAAAGCTGGATGTAAGCAACACAAAACAATAATAAAAACAACAACAAAAATATCAAGAAGAAGAAAACGGTAGTGAACAATTTGAATAATTAATAAAATGTTTAGTGCACTGTTATCAATGGAAATGTTTATTTTATGATTTGTTATGAAAACTCAGTATTCGCAATGAAAGTATTTTAGATTGATTTATGGCAAATACTAAAAGTGTTGTATAAGTTTGAAAACAAAAAAAAAAAAAAAATAATAATAAAAAAATTATATACAGGGTGGGGCATATAATAGGCTCACTCTTAGGGGGTGGGAA